CTTTATTTCTTCTGTGTAAAAGAAATTTATGAAAAACAGGTAGAAATTGTGCTGCAAAGGTGTCACTCCCCCTTAATATGTAGAGGAGACTGGGGCGAAAGGTTAAATTTTGCATAAATGATTTTTTTTAGACAATATAATCCACTTAGATGCAAATATTTATATATCAATATTGTAAGGCAACTTGTCCTCTACAACTTTCAATAAAAAAGTTTCTGATATTTTCGCATAAAATACATGTTTTGTTCTTTTTTGAAAATTTTGTTTTTTTTTAACTTTTCGCCCCATGCTGGGGCGAAAAGTTAAATGGCTGGGGCTAAATGTTAAATTATATTTTTAGCCTACTAAAACTATTTTCTGATAGGTGTTAAGTAGTGGATAAGTTAAAGTTTACGTAAACAAGTATTAAAGTGGATTGGTACTTTTATGCCCTTAAATTCCAAACCAATTCCGTTTTTGTCCGCAATCTTAATGAATTCCTTTTCTATTGTTAAATTGATAATTTCTATCTAATTCAATTCTCTGTAACCACGTGACCAGAGTCTGAATTTACTTTAATGCCATTTAAGGGAATCATTTTTTGTGGAGTTAATGCCATTTAATTAACATTGAATTCTTTAAAGGGGATTCAAATCCTGGTCACGTGGTTACAGAGAATTGAATTGGATAGAAATTATCAATTTAATAATAGAAAAGGAATTCATTAAGATTGCGGACAAAAACGGAATTGGTTTGGAATTTAAGAGCATAAAAGTGCCAATCCACTTTAATTCACCCCTTATTACTGGGTTAGTTAATAAAAGATCTGTGTTTATTTAACAAAAGCTTTAGAACAGTTATAAAGTTAATAAATTGAAATTTAAAAAAAGAAATTTTTTTTGGTTTATTTCATGGGAACGGTCTTGTTTTTTGACAGAATAAACCCAAAAAAACGAAAAATGTAAAAAACATTTTTAACAACATGTAAAAATACATTTAACTTTTCGCCCCAGGGTGCATTTTTGGCTTTAACAACAAATATAAAAAATCTGACTAAAGATATTTAGCAAATACCTTTAGGTATCTCTTCAGGGGACCCAAATAAGGACCTGAAAAAATCACGATGAGAATAAATTCAAAAAATATACTTAAAAGTTGATATTTTCTTTAAACGAAAAAATTTTGAAAAGTAGGGTGAAAACAAACTTTAAATATGGACACCACAAAAATGAACAGAATGTCACATAACTCCGGACATTTATTTAGAGTGATAACACCCTTCTATAATTAAAATTGCAATGCTCTAACTATTTCCGTTCGAAAGATAATGAATTTTAACTGTTTTCACAGTTTAACCTTTCGCCCCAGTCTCCCCTATTCAATTATTATCTACATTTTTAAATAAAATTCATTTTTTAATCAATTTTTATTAAAAAATTTTACGAGAATTAAGTTATTTAAACCGAAAAATAATTTATTGAATAATTCAATGTTTCTTAAAAATTTTGTTATTTATTACATCCTCATAGAGGAAGTATTGTAATACCAAAATTTTTCGAGTTCAATTTTTTGACATATCTTTATGTTATTTGACCTCAGGAGTTCAAAAATCACATTTTTAAAAAATGTAATTCCGTATGTGTGTGTGTGTGTGTATGTGTGTGTAAACATCACATTTTCATAAATTTTCATAAATAATCTCTAGAATGTTAGGACACCTATAAATGTTTTCCTCTAATTTTGTAGAGTTTTTTTAGACGCATCTTTTGAGCCCTTATTGAACATTTTTTGTCCATATTAACCGGAGATATTAAACTTTCAAAAATAAAAAATTTTGGAAAATAAGACTTTTTTGAAAATTTTGTTGAAAAATATAGAAGTAACTTTAAAATTATCGTTACCAAACTTGTAGAGCATTAAAAAACGCTTCAATTAACCTATTTTTTAACCTAATTCGATCATAAATTTCGAAATTAGTGGCATTTTAAAAACCAAAAATTGTGGAAAATCACATTTTCTCAACTTCTTTGTTTGGAAATTTTTGTTTAACTATTAAACTATTATAACTGTCTTGTAGAGTATTTAAAGATGTATTAATTGACCTAATATTTAATCACATTTACCATATTTATAAAAAGTCATTCATATATTTCTATTATTATTATGTCTATGAGGAAGCAAAGTGTTCATGAAATGAGCACCAAAATTGTAAAAATTATTGTGAAGAAATTTATAAAAATTTTGTAAATAAATGAATTCCTTTGAATTTTTTATGTTATTATGTTTGCTTAGAATTTTATCAAAATTTGTTTTAAATAAATGAATTCTTTAGGAAATTTTTATTAAAATAGGAGATATTGAAAATCACTGAATTGAGGAGAATTTTTGAAAATAACTGAATTTCGGAAAAGAATTTTATTATTTATAAAGATAATTAAAATTTTAAAGAGAATTTTTTTTTTAATTTTTGAACGTAATTGAATTTCGGCAAAGAATTTTATTACTTTTGAAAATAGTTGAATTTCTGCAATCATTTGTAACTTTTCTCCAAAATTCAATTTTTTAGTGTTTTTAACTAAAATTCTTCTATAAGAATTTGAATTATTAAAATTATTTCAAAAATCTAAGTTCTTTAAAATTTCTAATTAAATTCATTACAAATTAAAATTTTATAAATAAATTTCAAATTGTAACCTTTTGAAGTTCATCTATTTATGAAAATTGTAAACGCAACTCTTTTAAAATTCAATTAATTTTGAAATATTTTAATAAAATTATTTATGATATTAATAGAATATTAATTTTGACTTATGTGGAATGTCTTGTATTCATTTTTAAAAAAAAACCTTTTTAATTATATTGACAAGTTAGAACGCGATTTGTATGTTTTAACGAATTTGGTAAGATATTTTTAATCATATTTATTAGTTTATATTAGTACAAAATATTGTTTTCAGACCTTTATAAATATTGAAGTGTTTTTTTATTGTTTAAATAAATTTAGCCTGATGAGGTTGGTATTAATTAAACTGTGGAAGCATATAACTCTTATCACCCCCTAAAATTATTATCTATATTAACCCTTGGGCAGGCAAGGGGTCCATTGGACCCTGCTCTCTGTTGGTTAAATTTAAAATATCAATGATATTTTTATACTTTAATGCATTAAAATTCAAAATATAATAAAAAGCAAACCAAATATATAAAGTTCTACGTTTTCTTAATTCACAGAAGCATCTAAATTTAACAGGTTCCAATGAACCTCGCTTGCCCGCTAACGTAATTTTTTCAGCTTACTCGCCCAAGGGTTAATAATCGTTGTAATAATTGAATTTTTTCGAAAAATATTATTAAAAAATTTTTAAGAATTGAATTCTTTCCTGAAATGTTGTTAAAATTGTATTACAAATAATTGGATTTTTGCAAAGAATTTTACTATTGATTAATATAATTGAATTTCTTCCAAAAAATTTATTAAAATTTTAGAAAATATTTTCATTCAATTGTAATTTTTGCAAAAGAAGGTTATATGGACTCATTATTATCTAGAATACATATATATATGTACATTAAATTCTGATCATATGTTCAGATGTATGTGTGTGTATGTCACAAAATATTGTGTACAAATTATCTCAGACACGTTTTAATGGACTGTCCTGCAATTTTGTAGGTTCATTGCAGTCATTAATACCTGAAATCTGACACAAGGATTTCCGAATATCCTAAATCGAAATTTAAATTGACATGAAAACGAATCGATTGATTTATATAAAGTATACATTTTATCAAAATTTATAAAATTAATCGCTATTTATATTTTTCACAAAAAATTCCAATTTCGTACTTTTTGAAATTTTTAATAAAAAATTAAGCAATTGGTATACAGTTGAGGCCTTGGATCGAATAACTCGCCCGACGCTCGGAGGCACGCGCTAATGCCAGTCAGTGAGCAGTGAGTGGCCCAGAGGTGCTCACTGCTCACTGACTGGCATTAGCGCATTCCTCCTAGCGTCGGGCGAGTTATTCGATCCAAGGCCTCAGTTTATAATGAATTAAGAAAGAAATTTAATTCTTTCGTGAAATTGTTTTGAATATAATTGAATTTTTGCTAAAAATTTTACTATTGATAAATATAATTGACTTTTTTCGAAAAATTTATTAAAATTTTAGAAAATAATTGAATTTTTTCAAAAAATATTATTAAATTTTTTTTTAAAATTGAATTCTTTCATGAAATGTGACGCGTTCCCAAGAAAGGTACCTAAGAAGGAAAAAATTTGAGGTTATGTTTTAAATTTTTCGAGTAAAAATACAGAAAGAGAATCAATTATTAATTAAAAATTGTTGGTTTTCAAGTTTTCATTATATTCAAAATATTCAATTAATATTGGTTTAAAATTCAAATAATTAAAAATGAACTTTTAATCAAGATAAATCTAACTCGAACCCAACCTATAATTCGTTTGCTTCTTAGGGACCTTTCTTCATGTCGCGTCACAAATGTTATTAAAATTGTATTAAAAATAATTAAATTCTTGCAAGAAATTTTACTATTTATAAAAATGATTGAATTCTTACGAACAATGTTATTATTTATGAAGATAATTGAATTCTTGCGAAGAATTTTATTAGATTTTTTTTAAATTAATAAACAAGAATAACTAATTAGTAAATTAGTTAATAATTGAATACTTTTTAAGTTTGAATCTGAAATTTATTATTCAAAAATTCATAGTTGATAGTTCTTCAAGAATGAAGTTATTTAAAAAGAAATTATTGTCAGAAATAGAATAAATTGAAGCTTTTGAATTAGAATTCGTGGTAATTTTCTAATTTATGCGGCAAACAAAAAATACACCAAAATTAAAAATTTTCTTATGAATTCTAAAAATTAAATTTTTTCCTGAATTCCTGATCTGTGTCAACCCTGAAATTGAATGTTTTTCTAGCATTTTTGATTAAATTCCCTCACTTAAAATCTGAAATTCCCTAATATTATTAATATTATTATTATTTACCATGAATTGATCTTTCACAGAAGAAAGTAACTGTTGAGTGAGACTTGGCTTAATACTTTCAACAGAAACATGACAAGCAAGGCAACATCCTTCTAGCCATTCCTTTTTCACTTTGCAGTAAACCAAATTCCCCGAATTGTCCAATATTTGAAAGAGATTATTTGCTTGAGAAATATGATGATTAGCATTTTGATATTCTTCCCGAAGTAGGTAAAATATTGCCAGATCATAATGTATCTGAAAAAAATTTAAATCACCCAATGTTATTCTTTACTATATATTGTTAAGAATTTTCCACATACCTGACATTTAAATTCTTCTGCGGTTATACTGATCATATTGTTCCAATTTTGTTTTATTTCCGTACTGTCTTCTGTCAACATTTGAAAAGTATTTACAGATAAAACCTTTGGCTTCATATCGTCCAAATGAAGAACAGCATTTAATGCATTCAACGAAGTCGAAACATTTCCCTCCAATTTCCTCACAATATCGTCAGTCAAACCAGGTGAAATGAACGCTGAATCTTGAATTCCTAAACTAAATTTCAAATCGAAATTAAAAAATTATTTGTTATTTAAATTTAATAATAAAGTAATTTTTTCTTACTTGTGAAGAAATTGTTGCTTCGATTGTCTATTATTTAATGCGCGGAAAATAATCGCCCTCAAATGCCATCTGTGATAGAGGACAATTGTGAACAAAAGTTGATCTGAAATTGTTGTCAATTGATAGTCTGGAATTCCTGGAATTTCCACAATTGCGTCCGATGTGATAAAAAATAAATCCTGCAGTAAATTTACTTGTAGGGGCAATGGCAATTTTTTCTCGATTATATCTAAATCCCATTGTAAATAAGCGGCCACTTTGAGTGATAAAATTTTTAGTGCAAGATTTTTGTGTGTCCAATTTGGTGTTATATTTGATATCGTGTCAATTGATTCTCCGTCAATTATTTTTATTTCCGGATCTTTGTGTTCATTGTTTATTGTCATAAATTTGATAATTAGATCAGTTGGCGAAGGATCTGCAAAAATATTCACATTTATTATTAAAATCGAAAAAAGATTTCTAATGTAAGAAAAATTTCAAATTTCATTTCAAGTTAAATAATTTTCAGCAATTTTTAAACTTTGGAAAGATTTGAAGGTTAGGTTTCACACTTAATCGCAAATTCTGCGAAATAACTTTTAGAAATTATTTTTATGTTTATTGCATTAAAAATTGTTAAAAGTAATTCAAATACCTGAAATATTTTCAATAAAAACCAAGCAAATAAGATTATAAAGCGACACTTAACCCACTGAACTTACCTGGTGAAGGTTTCGAGATATGTTTTTCCAATAAGGATGGATTTAAAAGAAATTCGAACCATAATATTGTATCGGGCGATATAGGAACAGTTCCTGGTCTCAAAAGATCGACATCCATTGTTAAAAATGTTGAATAAAATTAAAAAAATAAAGTTGAAACAAAAACCCCTACCCCCTCCGAAAATCTTTTGTTGATCAACATAACCTCCAAATTTCAGTTGCGTCAAAGCAGCTAAGTGTCACGTCCCAGGTTAGGTACAATTTAATTTTAAGAGAGGGCGAACTTGTTCTTGCTTTGACTACTGAAGTAGTCACCTGGCAGGTAGGAAATTAGGCGGTTGAATTCAAATAATAAAATATATTTCACTCTGTTTTATTTAAAAGAAGGTAAATTGTTTAATTATAAATTAACAGTCTTGATTAAGTCCTTTAATTTTAACAATATTGAACTTATAATTTCGTTCACAAGAAATACGTCTGATTAGAAGAAGAGTAAGAATTGATCTGCTTTGGCCTTCAAAAGCCACTTGAAACCCTTGCTGAACTCCCCCTCTAAGGCCCTTCTAAGAGAAAGTGGGGATAAGGGTACAGTCACACGATCTAATGCATCTGCATGATGCATGCATGCAGAAACATTTGACCGTTCACACCTCATTTTTCGCTTTCGGAAAATCAGATTTCTGGCGGGATATTTAAAATTGATTAAAATTTTAACGTGCAACGTGCGCATTTCCTAGTCTACTCTCAAAAGATTTACTAAGAAAAATATAGAAACTGAATTTTCTGTTGCGTTCTATTTTTAGAATCTTTGGACAGGCGACTTAAAATGAATCCTTTGTATATCTCGAGTTTATGTTTACTTCCAAATTTTAGAGTTGTTTAATAGAAAGAGGCTTCAAGAGTTCTTTGAAATTGTATAATATTATATTATGTTTGAGATATAATTTCATTTATAATTGGAGTTTAGTTTAAATAATGAATTTTAAATAATATAAATAGTGAAAATAAAGAATATAATAAATTATAATTTATAATTTATAATTGTAATTTTGCAAAATATGATTAATTATTAATTATTTATATTTGATTTTGAATCTTCCCGCGTTTTACCATTAGGGTAGAGTTCTCAGCAAAGTTTTCGTATTTCTGTTGTTAGAATATGAAAGTGGCGTTATTTACATTGTTAAATTCGACGATAACGTCACATAAGCAGCGCAGCAATTGTTGTGATGTGACTTGTGACCTGATGACAATGAGTTGATAACTCTAAGTGTCAAAGTTTTTCAAGTTTATTTTTCTCAAAATGAGATCGTGTTCAGTATTTTTAGTCTTAATACCACTATTTCCACTCTTCCAATTTACAGGTAAATGAAAAAACGGTTGTCAAACAACTTTTACTGTCTGTAAAAAGAAATGATTATATTAAGTATATGACGTGACACAAATTAATAATTATTTACAGCAAGTCTTCATAGAAATTTAAAATATTACGAAACACTCGAGATTTCTCAACTAGATCATAGAATAGTGAAAAGAGGCACTCAACACAGTAATCATCCTTATAATAAAATAAGCGAAATTGAATTTCATACACATGGAAGGTAATTAACGCTCTTTGTTATTGAGACTTTTCTTTACTTTTTCATTTTGCCGTAAAGACGAATTTTTTATTATAATACTAAATATAATGTAACTGTTTTCTAGACATTTTCGATTAATTTTAACTCCGAGACGTGAAGTTATACACTCTAATTTCAAGGTGTATGAAGTCGATGGCGATGGGAAAGAAACAAGTGTTCACTTAGGTATAGTAATATTTTTTTCATATTTTATTTATTTAGTATTTAGTAAATAAATGCCCTTTAGTACAAATAGTACTTAAAATAATAAGAATAAATACATTTTGTAAAATTATTTTCAGATCATGACAATTTTTACCATGGTCGAGTATTTGGAGAAATTGATTCTCACGCACAGATTCATATCGACGATGGAGTTCTCACGGGAACTGTTACTGTTCCTGATGAGACTTTTCATATTGAAGTAAAATAAAAATAATATTTAATAATATTTAGTAATTTAATTATTTATTTTAGCATACTTTTCACTTTTTTCGTAAAAAAATGAACTTTTTAATTTTAGCCATCCTGGAGGCATCTTCCCCACTTGGATAACAAATCGATGATAGTTTACAAGGCGTCGGATGTAAAATTAAGTTGGGAACATTTTGAAAATGGAGAAGGACACACGCATAGTGCTCCGAAAACATGTGGTTACGTTAAAGAAAAATCAGGTACTATTAATCTTCATGACTAAAATCAGTACAAATAGTCACCATATAAACATATGGCATCAAAAAATTGCGATTATTAAATAGAAATCATGTACATTTTTTTTATCTATTTCTACAAAATCTGAATTTTCTTAAGAATTGTCATTAACAAATAGGACATTATGCAAATTTTTTTCAACTTTATAAATAATATTTAACATTCTGTTAAATATTTTAACATTTTTTTTATAAATAAAGAACAGAAAATATATAATTTTCATTTGTAAGAGAAAATTTTATAACAAAACTTTTATTTTTTTATAGTAAAAATTAAAAAAGTTTATATGATCTTGATTTGGCAATCATTATTATTATTATTTTTAGTTTTATACAAGATTATGTTTTTTTTTTTAAAAGTAAAAAAAATGGCATAATTTCTCTTTCTTAATCACAATTTTTGAACAATATTCAAAGTTTTCATCGAAAATGAAGAAAAAAGCCGATTTTCTATTTTTAAAATGTTTATAATTTGTACTATATTTGTTTATAATTTCAAAACTTGGTACAACTATCATAAAAATTATTACTTATAAATTATTTAATAAATAATTTTACTTAATTATTTCAAAATTAATTGGATTTTAAAAGAGTTGCCTTTATGATTTTCATAAATAGATGAACTTCAAAATTTTTTAATATATATTTGATTGATTAATAAAAATAACGGATTTGTAAAGAATTTTAGTTAAAAACACTTAAAAAATATTGAATTTTGGAGAAGTTACAAATGATTGCAAAAATTCAATTATTTTCAAAAATAATAAAATTCTTCTCCGAAATTTAATTTTTTTCTAAAATTTTAATAAAATTCTTATCCAAATTTCAAATATTCTCAAAAGTTTTCCTCAATTCAATGATTTTCAATAGGGTAAACTAAACAGTAGTCGGCCACCTCTAAATTTTGAATAACTACAAATCCATATGAGATAAAAACAATTTTTTTTGCTAAACGCTTATACTATTATTGTTAATGACCCTATACATTTGTAATCGAAAAAAATATTTTTAAAGGTTTTTGAGCCGGTGGCCGACCATTGTCTGGTTTACCCTATCTACTATTTTTAATAAAATTTTCCAAAAGAATTCAATTATTTAAAAAAGATTTTGATAAGATTCTACGCAAACATTTATTTACAATAATAATAATTTCACAGGAATTCAATTATTTACAAAGTTTTTCAAAATTTCTTCGCAATAATTTAATTCTTGGAAATTAATTTTTTTGGAAAAGTTTAATTGATTTTCTTTTTGAAATGATTTGTAGTTTTTATTTTCTAATATATGTTTAATTGAAAAATTTCCGAATAATTGAAATTTCGTAAAATTGAATTGTAAACAAATGGATTTGAAAATTTTCAAAGAACTTTTTCAAAAATATTAAAAATATTTGGTTTAAAGAAGGATATCAGTTAAAAATTCTAGAAAATAATAATTAAATTATGCAACTTTTTGTGATTAATTTGTAAAAAAAAATTATAATTTCGTTAAAAATTGTGATTAAAAAACAGAAATTACACAAAAATTTTGTTATTCGTAATATAAAATATAATTATAATTATATTGAATGATATTATACTGAAAATTATCTTTATAAATGAGTAGCAAAATTCTTGGCCGAAATTAAATTATTTTCAAAAATTTGAATAAATTTCAATTACATTTATATTGAATATTAGGTATTATAATGAATTATGAAGTTATAAGATTGAAATTATTTGTAGATATTCCCGAAGAAGAATTGGAAATTGACGTGACAATTGAGGAAGAAAATGACAATCGAAGAAGAAAAAAGAGGCAAACTGAAACCTACGAATATACACCAACAAAAACACGTTGCCCTCTTTTACTCGTAGCCGATTACAGATTCTATCAGGAAATGGGAGCAAGCAGTACCAAAACAACAATTAATTATTTGGTTCGTCTCGTGTAATTTTTTATTTCAAATTTTTTCCGTTGATAAATTAAGAGAAGAAAATTTCGTTTTACTTGCAGATAAGTTTAATCGATCGAGTGCACAAAATATACAATGACACTCTCTGGCAGGATCGTCAAGAGCAAGACGGATTCAAAGGAATGGGATTTGTTATTAAAAAAATAGTCGTTCACAGTGAGCCTACTCGTGTTCGAGGGGGTGAAACGCATTACAATATGGTGAAAGAAAAATGGGATGTTCGCACACTTCTTGAAGTAAATTTTATTAATTTTACACTTCTATTATTTATGTAAATAGAAAGTTCTAAATTAAAATGGAACCAAATGACGATTTAATACCCAAAATCGGTTCTAAATTTTACAGTGATAACAAAATATTCTGTTTTCAAGGTATTTAGCAGAGAATACAGTCACAAGGATTTTTGCTTGGCTCATTTGTTTACTGATCTAAAATTCGAAGGTGGAATCTTGGGATTAGCATATGTTGGTTCACCACGCAGAAATTCTGTCGGTGGAATTTGCACTCCTGGTGAGTTGATAATAAAAAATACTTGAAAATTAGAATTAATTGCACATTTATGTTTTGTAGAGTACTTTAAAAATGGCTACACTCTGTATCTTAATTCCGGTTTGAGCTCGAGTAGAAATCATTATGGACAACGAGTAATAACTCGAGAAGCGGACCTAGTGACTGCCCATGAATTCGGGCACAATTGGGGTTCAGAACACGATCCTGACATTACGGTATTTATAATTGTAATTAAAAATCTTTCTCCTATTATTGCTCAAATTAAAGATTGCTTTCTTTTTAAATAGGAATGCAGTCCAAGCGCTAGTCAGGGCGGCTCGTACTTAATGTATACCTACAGCGTCAGTGGTTACGACGTGAACAACAAGGTATAAATTATGTAATTAAAAACAGATAAAATCGTTAAAACTCATTAAAAAATAATTGAATTACTACGAAGATTTTGTAATATTTATAAAATATTAATATTGAATGATTAAAAAAAATTATTTTCAGCGTTTCTCGCCGTGCAGTTTGCGATCGATTCGAAAAGTTCTACAAGCGAAAAGTGGAAGATGTTTTTCGGAACCCGAGGAATCGTTCTGCGGAAATTTACGCGTCGAAGGCGATGAGGAATGTGATGCTGGTCTCTTGGGAACAGAAGACAATGACGCGTGTTGCGATAAAAATTGTAAATTACGCCGTCATCAAGGCGCAGTTTGCAGTGACAAAAATTCGCCATGTTGTCAAAATTGCATTTACATGCAACAAGGAACGAAATGTCGAGAAGCTCAATACGCCACATGTGAACAGGAGTCGCGTTGCACTGGAGCGACAAGTGAATGCCCCCGATCGCCACCGATGAAAGATGGTACCGGTTGTCTCGAAAGAGGACAATGTAGATTGGGAAAATGCGTTCCCTATTGCGAAACGCAGGGTCTACAGAGTTGCATGTGCGATACAAGTAAGACATTTTTTCATAATCAATTACAATTACGTCGCATCATCATTCAAGATCAGATTTCCAGACAACATTTTTACTTTTTCCCTGACTCTCAAAATTATTAGATACTCAAAAAAATTATCATTTATTTACATTTATTTACGAATTTCTTTAACTGTCAAATTATTCGAAAATTATTTTTCCATAGGAATTAAGATTTTCAAAAATTTCAAATTCAAACCTTTTTGAAATTCAACAACTTCTATTATTATAAAGCATGAAACATCGATTACTTCATGTTTAATAGTAATTAAAGATGACCAAGTAATAAAATCATTATTTTATATTATAAGAATATTCTTACTCTAACTTCTTCAAAATTATTTTCATCATTTAAATTCAATTATTATTTTCTAGAATTTTTATATGAAATTCTTCTTTAAATCTATTATTTTTCATAATTTTTGACAATGTTCTTTGAGAATTTTCCAATCCATTTGTTTACAATTTAATTTTATGAAATTTCGATTATTCGGAAATTCTTCAATTAAATATAATATGTTAGAAAATAAAAACTTGTAATAATTTCAAAACAAAATTCAATTAAACTTTAAAAAAATTAATTCTACATCTAAATGATTGGGTTCTTTTGACGAATTTTAATAAAATTTTTAAGAATAATTACTTTTTTAGAGGCATTTGATTAAAATTGTATTAAAAATAATTAAAATTCTGCTGAGTTTTATTATTTATGAAAATAATTAAATTATTGCGAAGAAATTTATAAAAAAAATTGATAATCAGTGAAATATTTATTATTTATGAAAATAATTAAATGTTTGAGTAGAATTTGATTAAACGTTTTATTAAATAATTAAGTTCTTTAGAAAAATTTTATTCAAATAGTAGATATTGAAAATCAATTTTTGACAATTTTTGAAAAAGTTTTTTGAAAATTTTCAAATCCATTTGTTTTTAATTAAATTTTACGAAATTTCGATTGTTCGGAAATTCTTCAATTAAAATTAGAATATAAAAACTTCAAATCCTAATTTAAAAAAATCAATTAAACTTTAAAATAATTTAATTTCTAAGAACTGTTAATTAAACGTGTGAAAAATTAAGAATTTAAAAGATTTTAATTTGAAACCGTTTCAAAACTCAATTACTTCTAAAAATTTATGCTGTAATGCTTTTAATTTTCAATTATTATCTAAAATTTCATCTGAAATTCATTTTTAAATCAATTTTTATTAGAAAATTCTACGAAAACACAATTTTTTTAATTATAAAAATAAATAATTTAATAAGTGATTAAATGTTTCATAAAATTGAATTCTTGTAAAGAATTTGATCAACAAATTTTTAAATAATTGAATTCCTTTGACGAATTTTAATAACATTTTTAAATATAATTACATTTTTAGAAAAATTGGATTAAAATTTGATTAAAAATAATTGAAATTCTGCGAAGAGTTTTATTAATTATGAAAATAATTGAATTCATAAAAAGAATTTCATTATTTATGAAAATGAAAATAATTGAATCCCTGTAAAAAAATGTATTATTTATTAAAATAATTGAATTATTGCGAAGAAAGTTATAAAAAAATTTGTAAATAATTGAATTCCTGTGAAATTTTTCTTATTTATGAAAATAACTTAATTATTGTTTGCTTCGAATTTTATCAAAATTTTTTTTAAATAATTGAATTCTTTAGGAAAATTTTATTAAAATAGTAGATGTTCAAAAACATTGAATTGAGAAATATTTTTTAAAATAATTGGAATTTTATTGAAATTTCTGAAGATAATTGAATTTTGGAGTAGACTTTTATTATGTATAAAGATAACACAAGTCAACATGAAATTTGCGCCTGACATTTAAGATAGTTTTTATGATAGATTTATCGACTGATATGAGGAAAACAATTATATTTTATCAAAAAGTTTGTTTTTGTAGATAGGAGAACTTTTTTACCATATTTTTGAAAATTTATGATTTTCTGAATGAAATGATCAATCAAAAATCTGTAAAGTACGTAATAAAACATACTTTACAGATTTTTGATTGACCATTTCATGAGTATTTCATGATTATGGATATGCAAAATAAATATATGTTTTAAATTTTATTAAAAAATGGTGTCTGTGCAGCATTTCATTGGAAAGCGTCTCGTTTCAGGATTCCATGGCCAGACAACTGACGTCCTTAATTTTTGATCTGGAAGAAAATGAAAATGTTGTCATTTTCTATACAGCAACAGCTATCGACACACATATAGGATTTTTTTATATTACTTACTTTTATTTTTATCAACAATTTTGTGAATTTTTTTTTGTTTGAAAATTGGCACTTTTTTGTTCAATCACGCACCATTTTGCAAAAAGTCAAAATATCGAAAAAATCCTACGTGTGTCGATAGCTGTTGATGTATAGAAAATGACAATATTTTGGTTTTTCTCCAAATCAAAAATTGAGGACGTTAGTTGTCCGGCCATGGAACCCTAAAAAAACAGACGCCTTCCAATAAAATGCTGCACATTATATAAACCCAGGCTTTTTTAGTGGTTTTAACTTTAATTCTGCCGTGTGATATAAAAACTTAGTTAACTGACATTTTGGTGAAAAATGAGTTTTTGGTATCAATGAACTCGTAAGAAAAAACTGCGTCTAATAGTTATAGTTTAAATTTTTTTTGCAAATTATTGTTTGTAAAAAATTAATATTAAAAATCTAAGAAATTGCAGAAAATGAAGGAATATTTGATAAAAAGTTAAGGAAAGGACTTTGCGTAGTCCAAAAAACAAACGAGGCTACGAGCTCGAATGTATGATTTGAAGGAAAAACTTAGTTAAAGGCATTTGTGTGTTTTTTGTATCAAATAAGTAGTCGAGTCTGAGCGTTGGATTTGAAATAAAAACTTTGCATCTGCAACGCTTGCAATTACCTAAGTTATTCCGTCAAAAAGTCAGTCGAGACAGAGCCGAACGACTACTTAACTGCATTCGGCTAAACTCGGTTTATCCTCGGGTCGCAAGCAGCAAGCAGCCGTCCCCTTACCACATGACGTCATTGTCAGTTAGGTAAGTTTTTCCATCAAATCGGAGGACCGAGCTCGCGTACATTTTTGTTGAGCAACTTTGCAAAGGACTTTACCTAACTTTTTACTTCATATTTGCATTCGGAAAAACACGCAAGTGCATTTTTTCATATAATTTGTTTAAATAATTAATTTTTTATTTCATAATTAAATAGAGCACCATCATTATACCCAGTATGTGAAGTTGAATTGAACAATTTTTTAATTTTTATTAGGGTTCTGAAAGCAAACAGTTTTTCCTTATTTTCTCGTTTCGATATAAATGTCAGTTAACTAAGTTTTTATTTCAAACGGCAGAATTCTATCATTTATTTGTGGAAATTGTAAACGCAACTCTTTTAAAATTTAATTAATTTTGAAATATTAAAATAAATTTATTCATTTAATTTTTAATTGAAAATAAAACTGAGAAGTTTAAAAGATTTTTATAAAATAAAGCGAAGAAAAATTTTATTTATTTTGATTTACCAATCATGTTTTTTTATCAAATCTTTAGTTTTTCTTGGAAAAAGAGTTTTTGTAATTTCTGTTTTTCAATCACAATTTTTAATGAAATTATAATTTTTTTTAGAAATTATTAATGAAAAAAGTTTGCATATAATGTCTATTATTTCATAATTTATTTTTCTTTTCTTTGAAAAAGAAGAAAAAAGACGTATTATATTTGGACCATTTATATTTCTCCATCACAATTTTTTAACAAATTTTCCGGTTTTGTTTAGTAATAAAATAAAAAAAAATTTGCATAATTTCTATTTATTTATCACAATTTTTAACAAAATCTCAGGTATATCTATGTTTTTAAAAAGAGTTAAAAACTTTGTTGAATTTCTATTTTTTAATTGAAAATTTAATTGAGGATTTTAAGACTTTTATAACATAATGGAAAAAAATCTTCCTAATTTTGATTTATCAATCACATTGTTTTTATTAAATTTTAGTAGGTGGGTCAGAACTTCTCAAACGGATCAACTAAAACTAAAAATTTTTCTTTTTGAACCAAAATAGTTTTTTTTTGACACTTTATAAGGTTAAGAAGAATCCCTAAAAATATTAAGCCAAAAAAAAATTTTTTGTAAAAGTTATTAACAATTGAATTTTTTAGTACTGCTAAATTAACAAATTTTTTTCTCGAGTTCCAGTTGACGGATTTTAAAATAAAATATGGGGTTTTTTCGTCTTGAATTGCACTATTTGAATATATTTTTTGTTTTTAAATTTTTTTATTTTTTATATAATTTGTTTATAAAATGTTAATAAACAAATATGTTCTTCACGTCCTAACAAAAAAAATTAAAATTGTATTCTATTCCTTAAATGTCTGCGAGTGTAAAACCGTTTTGAAAAAAATGAGCCTCAATTAGAAAAAAAGTTATTAATTAAAAACTGCAGCTGTGTAGAGCTTTATATGACGTTAAACTCGCCCCGCGCACATTGACATTTTTTACAACTTACTGTTCAAACTTGTCTGGAACTTACAAATTTTATCTGATTTTCATGGGATTGGTCTTAAATTAAAAAGGATAAAATATTTAATAGATTCTTCTAAACAAATTTTTTGATTTTTAAATTGTTTATATTTTTTTGTTATTCAAAGTTAACAATTTACAATATTTTTCGAAAAAATCATGTTTATTTTTTAATTTTTTCATTGCTGATGATTGGAATCAATTGAAATTAGTCCAGCATGACCACCAGACAAATAATAATGTATAATACAATTTATTTAAATTGTTGCAAACAATGTTAATTAACAAATAGATAACTGTGGTTCTTTTTTATAAAAAAAAATTTCTTTTGCAGACAAATTTATGTTTATTTAAGTAATCTATGTCGATTTTGGTAAAAAATTATTTTGAATTGAAAAATTACCATTGTTATTGACAATTATTATGAACAATAATAAAGTTTCTTTGACATTTGTAAACATTTTAGGCATTTTTTAAACATACATAAAATGTTTGTATAATATGTACATTCTTTCAAAAACTTTAAAAATTTATTAGCACAAACAATTACATTTGTTATAAACAAATTATTTACTTTTTAAACAAATAAATGGCTTATTTCTGCAAAAAGAAAAACTATTTTTCTTATTTTAACGAGTTTAAAGTCATGTAAAGCTCTACTTGATTATTGATAACTAGATATGTAATTATTGTTCATAATTATGATTCTTAATAACAATGGTAATTTTTAAATTAAAAATAATTTTTTACCAAAATCGACATAGATTACTTAAATAAACATAAATTTGTCTGAAAAAAAAAAAATTTTTATAAAAAAGAACCAAAGTTATCTATTTGTTAATTAACATTGTTTGCAACAAATTAAAAAAATTGTATTATGCATTATTATTTGACTGCTGGTCATGCTAGACTAATTTAAATTGATTTAAATCATTTGCAATGAAAAAATAAAAAAATAAACATGATTTTTTTTAAAATGTTGTAAATTGTTAACTTTGAGTAACAAAAAAAATATAAACAATTTAAAATTCAAAAATTGGTTTAGAGGGATCTCTTAGAAATTTCATATACCCTTTAATTTAAGACCAAGCCCATCAAAATCCGATAAAATTTGTTAGTTCCAGACAGGTTTGAACAGTAAGTTGTAAAGAATGCCAATGTGCGCGGGGCGAGTTTAACGTCATATAAAGCTCTACACAGCTGCAGTTTTTAATTAATAACTTTTTTTCTAATTAAGGCTCATTTTTTTCGAAACGGTTTTACAGTCGGAGACATTTAAGGAATATAATAGAATTTTAATTTTTCTGTTAGGACGTGAAGAACAAATTTGTTTATTAACATTTTATAAACAAATTATATAAAAAATTATAAAAAATAAAAAAATTTAAAAAAAAATATATTCAAATAGTTAATTTAGCAGTACTAAAAAATTCAATTGTTAATAACTTATACAAACAATTTTTTTTTTGGCTTAATATTTTTAGGAATTTTTCTTAACCTTATAAAGTGTCAAAAAAAACTATTTTGGTTCAAAAAGAAAATTTTTTAGTTTTAGGTGATCCGTTTGAGAAATTTTGACCCAGGTATTTTTCCATAATTTCTACTTCTTTATCGCAAATTCGCAATATATTTTTGTAATTAATAAATTCGTTATGTTCGTAAATAAATTGATATTCGTTTCTGTTTACAGTTTCAGAAGCTTGCAAGAGATGCTGCAGAATGAGTTTGAATGAAACATGTTTTCCGATCGATCCACAAGATATTTTACCCGACGGCACTCCTTGCATTCAAGGCTTTTGTAATAAGGTAAAATAATTTCGAGAATTTTTTATTACATTTTTAAAAATATTTTTAGAACTTTTTGATTAGAATTTTCTTATCTGGTTAGAAATTTTAATAATTTTCATCTTTTAAGGGTGTTTGTGAAAAGACAATTCAAGACGTTGTAGAGAGATTTTGGGATATTATTGAAGACATTAATATCAATAAAGTTATAAGATTTTTGAAGGACAATATTGTTGGGGCGGTTATCATAAGCACTGCTTTGATTTGGATTCCGTCAAGTTGTGTAATAAGTTACATTGATCGTCGAAGAGTGAAAGAGAATGAGAAAAAGTGGCGCTGGAAAAATACTGATGAACTAATTCATCCGGAAGAACGGCGACAAGTCATTTATGTTGGTTTACCACGTCGAGTACAACACGCGACTCAACAAACTTAATAATAACAGAAAATTAATTTTATTTTCAAACAAAGATACTAGTCAGACAAAGTAATTTATATTTACATTATTTAATTTGTTAATTTTTTTTCACATTTACCACAAATACGTGGGGTGAATATTAATTGCCAGTTACTAAAAGTTTTACTAATTTTTAATTTTATTTATACGGTGCTTACAAATATTTTTTTTACCATTTCAAGTTACTTAACTATTTTATTTTGGTTTTTAACGTTTACTTTTTAACGTTTTATTTTTTACAATTTTTAATTTTAATTTCTAACTCTTGTTACTTACTACTTGTTGCTCATTCTATTGAAATAGTACATTATAAAATTTTAGTATTAAAATTTTTATTCTGTTTTTATATACAATTTACTATCATTTTATGCAAAAACGTTTTTAGACTGATTTTTTAAAACATTTTCTATTATTTTGAATGTTTTTTACATTTATTATTATTAAATATAAATTAAGTAATTATTAATAACTTAATTAAGAGAAATAATTATCTTCAGCAAGTAATAAGGATTTTTAGTAAAATTATTATTTATCTGAAAGATTACTGTGCCAGTCATTTTTAATTAAAATTAAATTTACAAGGTGCTTTTGATTGAATTTTAAAAAATGATTTACTTTAATTAATTTAATCATTTGTGATGAAAACTGTTTGGGTTGAAATAATAATAAATAGTGAAGATACTGAATCTGAACCAATGAAACAAATACCATTATTTATAAAAATATTAATGAAAAATTGTACAAAGATTGTGAACCAATTATTAAAAGTTGTAATATAAATAAATATTAATAATAATAAATGATTAATAATTTATAATTATTAACAAATGAAATTTTCTATTTTTCGTTTTCAATTAATGAGTTTTCAATTTTCGAGTAAATCAAACAAAAATTACGTTGGTGATCGGAGAAATGTAAATAATGCGCCCCTTCCGCTTTGATAACAATCTGATACTTTTTTTTTAATTGTTCTCTTGATAGAAAAAAAGATTAAAACTGACGATGATCTGAAGATTTTAATCAGCTCACATAATTTTTTGTTCGATTTTTTCAAATAAATTATTTACTTTTTAATTAAGAGGGAAATAGCTAAATGACAAATATTTTACGTCACTTTTTTTCTATTATTCAATCCCCTTTTCTAAACTACAACAAAATCTAATAAAAATAAATAGAAATAAAATACAAAATCTATCATTCGAATTGAATAATAAATTTTTATTTAAGTTTACTATTTATTATTTAATAAATTATCTAAATGGTAGATTACGGAAAGGAAAAATTAAAAAAATAGGTTTATTTATTCAGAATCAGATGACAAATATTTAAATCTCGAAAATAAATTAAAAAATACATATTAGATAGAAAGATTGTATTTACGGGTAAAAATGGATTTGTTTTGAATAAACAAAAATTATACGATTTTCCCTTTGGAAAAAAGAATAAAAATCTCAGTACTTCAGTTACAGTGAGACAACCAAAGAGTTAGATATCAAATTATTTTTATGTTTTTGAAACAAAAAATACGATTTTTTGTGTACTAGAGAATTAAGAAAATTTCAATCATTTTATAGAAGTAAAAAATAATTATAATCGAAAATTAAAAAAATCTTTAAAGTAATTAAAAATTTAGAGAACAGTTGTTTTAAAATTTCTCAGTTCAAAGAAATAATATTGTACAAGTAATTTGAATAGTAATTTAAATAGTACAAGAAAAGAAGCAATGAAGAAAATAATATTTGTGATGTTGAGAATTTTCTTCACAATCGTAACTTCTGAATCAATCGATGAAAATCAATTAACAACACGAGATTATTCTGATCTAATCGAAGATATTTATAACTACACAAAGTCAACTTCTGTGACTTTAATACATTTTACCAACGATGGAAGTAAGTTTCAGAAAAAAGAATTTTTTTTCCTTTTACATTCTCATATTGTTTATAATAATATTATCTAATAACGACTATTTTGTTTTCAGATTTAATTCAGAAGAATAAAATATTCCAAATGCAAAAGCTACTATTGAGGAAGAATTTCATTAATGTTTCGGACATCAACTTACGTCTTATATCAAATTTAACTGACGAGAGATTTCACAATTTTAAAGGCTTAAGAAAAGACAATTCTGCGATTAGTTTTTTCCTTCTTAGTTCCGTGAATGACTTTAACGAAATGAAGAAATACACGATATTGTTAAATCGATCAAAGGTTATTAATTTTGTCGTCTTCATGAAAGATGATGACAGTGATAAAATTTATTCGGATATTTGCCAAAATCCAAAAGACAATGCATTCGATTTAAATGAAGGTGTTTCTATTCTTGTCAAGTGTTTGACAAACGTTACGATTCAAGAATGGCACTCAATTAATAGTAGTTCAATAAACATTATTTCTAGAGCCACATGGGAGGCGAAGAAAAAACCGAGATTTACTCTAGAATCGAGGACATTGTCTGTTGGTAATCGAGAAGCAATTGAGGGAAAAGTTTTACGTGCTGTAATAATAAAGGTAAAATTCAAGAATATTTAAACAAAAATTGGTGTGATAAATTAATTGATTGATAAATTTGTTTTTAATTACACAGGAATCGAGAGCTATTGGAGAATATTTTCCAAAATTGATAGAAGCACTTGAAGAAGCGGGGAATTTCAGTTTTACATTTGTAGAAAATGACGAGCGAGGAATTTATGATGAAGATAAAAAAACTTGGAGTGGTGCAATGGGTCTAGTTGTTAATAAACAAGTTGATATTGCTCTGGGTTGGTTCACTTATTTACCGAATGGTTTTTCTGTTGTCGATTACACTGTAACCATTGATAGAGCTGAATTCGTAATTCTGATAAAGGAACCCAAAACTAAAACAGTTATTTCATGGACCGCATTCTTTCAGGTAAGAGAAAAATACTACCAACTTCAATTATTATTAATCAATTAATGGAAGTTATTTTATTATCATTATTAAAACTCAAGTAAATAGTTGGTATAAATTTTCAGCCTTTCACACTTGAAACTTGGTTGGCATTACTATTCTTGTTCATAATAATTCAAGTGATTCGTGTATTTCTAAAAAGTAAGACACGTTCTTCTTCTCAAGAGCAGACATTCGGTGCTGATGATTTCTTCCATATTTGCGGAATATTCCTTCACAAACATCAACCAAGTACTGTAATACTTCAATAGGATAATAATTATCCAAAAATTTTGAACTTTCAAATGCGAACAGATTTTTTTACTACTGTGACGTTCCACGTCAACAAGGACAGGCTTCTGGACAAAAATTATTTTATTATTATTAACCTTTAAAGTGCTAAGTGTTGAAAAATCACGCTCAGTGCTAACCCCGGTCTGTCAGACCGCTATTCCCTTTTGACAGTTTCTTAGTCATTTATAATTTTTAAAAGACAACTATTATAAATATTTTTTACTTTTTAACAAAAAAAGTCATTTCTGTATTATGCATTTATTTATTTTATTTATTTTATAAATGCAGTCTATAAGAACTGTCAGTAGAACTAGCTGCGCGTCAAGTTGCGCAGACGTTACTCATGGGAATATACTGGAATATACTTTCACTTAAAGCTAACCCCGGTCTCACAGACCGCTATACCTCAAATATTTATTTATATTACAAAATTTAACTAATAAAAATTTTTGAAAAAGTTGTCTCCTAACAGATTTTCATAAAATATGAAGCTACTAAAAAGTTCAAGTTCTTATTATACTTTGAAAAAAAGTTACAAGCAAAGAAAATTTTAATAGCGGTCTGCCAGACCGGCATAGCACTTTAAAGGTTATTATTAATCAGCGACCCCAAAAACCTTACGAGAAACAAGAATCGAACAATTTCGATTAATTTTTTAAATTTCTTTACATTTTGGATCTGAAATTTTGAATTTCTTAAAATCAACGTCAAATTCGTAAACAGCGACCCCAAAAACCTTACGAGAAACAAGTACATGTCGAACAATTTCGATTAATTTTTTTAATTTCATTCCGACATTTTGAATTCGCTATTTTGAATTTGGAAAAACTAATATCATGTTCGTAATTAGCGACCCCAAAAACACTCCGAGAACCAAGTATGGTCAATTTCAATTAATTTTTAAATTTTTTGTCCGCCATTTTGAATTTCTAAAAATTAACTTCAAATTCGTAATCAGCGACCTCAAAAATCCCCGAGAAACAATTTTCAAGCCAATCTAATCGTTTTTAAAATTTTGTCCGTTATTTTGGATCCGCCATTTTGAATTTTGAAAATCTAACATCAGATTCGCATTCAACGTCCTTAAAGACTATTGGATATGGTATTCGAGAATAATTTGAGGCTATGCTCATAGAGAATTTCCAAAACATTAAGTTTTTTGGAAATTCTCTATGAGCATAGCCAATCAAAACGCTGGACGTTTCTGATATACTTAGAACGGAGGAGGTATACAAGCCCCTTTAAGGGCCAGTTTCACCAAACTAGTTCAAGCACTGAACTCGTTCAAAGTATGAGTTGAACGAGATCAAGTCTCTGCGTACGTTTCACCATCTACTTAACCACGTTCAACTCGGTTGAATTAAGTTTATATTTTAATCGCTGAATTTTGTCGGTTTAAGCAGAGTTGACCGCGTTCAACTTGCCGAACTCTCCCGAAGCGCAGTGCGAACTTTTACGATTTGTTGATTTTCTTAAGGGACCATTACCTATAGGTATAAAAAATTAATTAACATTCAGTGTATTATTTACTTAACAAAATAAGTGGAATCATTATATATACAAAGCATTCTATCCTAAACTGACCCACTATCAAAACAATATTGCATGTAGATGCTTTGTTTCAACAGATTTAACTTTATTAAATGTAAATTAAATTAAAAAAATATAAAGAAAGAAGGATTTTATCAAAAGAAAAATAAATCTGACAAATGTTTAGAAATATTCATATAAAAGCCTTTACAAATTTTAAATGGTCATTTAATTGACATTCGTATTGAAATTTACAAATCTGATCTACTACACCACAATCACAAAATATGTATGCACTATTATGTTATTAAATTAAGAAAATATAAAAAAGGACTTTAAAAAAAGTTTGGCTCTCTCTGTCTAATTTTGCTTTCAACAAAAAATTTAAATTTTGTAATTTTTGAAATAACTTTTTTCTTTATTAAAATTTTCATTTACTCTTGTCAAAATTGTATTTCTGCCATGAAAACGAATCGATTCATGTATATAAAGTATATATTTTATCAATATTTATAAAATTAATCGAACGATATTTTTATTTTTAACAAAAAATTCAAATTTTGTATTTTTTGAAATTTTTTTAAATACTTTTAAATAATTATTCTAGAATAAGAAATTAAGCAATTGGTATATATTATATTGTGGAAGCTAAATGATCATGAAAAGAACAACTTGTTTTTTACTCCACTACTCATTTTTTATTAAGGTTTTAATTTAAAATAATAGATATTAAGCTCAAAAGAACCTATGCGACATTTATATTTTAGGTTAGTTCAGTTGTTTATTTACATTCTGTGGTTAGATTTAAGCGCCATAACCACTAGGAAATTCTAGGGAATGTAGATTAACTAAACGCGTTCATTTTAAACTGGGATTAGGCTGGTGAAACGCACTAGCGGTTAACTCTGACGATCAAGAGTTGAACGAGTTCAGTTGAACCAAGCTTAACCGCCAGTTGGTGAAACTGGCCCTTAGGGTACAGTCACACGATCAATGCATCTGCATGATGCATGCATGCACAAACATTTGACTGTTCACACCTCAATTTTTCGCTCTCAAAAAATCATTTTTCTAACGGGATATTTAAAATTGATTAAAATTTAAAAATAACGCATTACTAATTATTACAATAAAAAATAAAAAAAAATTGAACGTTTATTATAAGGAATTAATTGTTAATAAATTTCTCTTAATTTGTGTCATATTTTAAATTATAAAAATTCACAATATTAAAATATGCCACAAATTAAGAGAAATTTATTTACAATTAATTCCTTATAATAAACGTTTAATTTTTGTTATTTTTTATTGTAATAATTAGTAATACGTTATTTTTAAATTTTAATCAATTTTAAATATCCCGCCAGAAAAATTGAGGTGTGAACAGTCAAATGTTTGTGCATGCATGCATCATGCAGATGCATTGATCGTGTGACTGTACCCTAAATCCGTTAAGATAATTTTTGTCCAGAAGCCTGTCCTTGTTGACGTGGAACGTCCCTACTATAAATATTTGTAATAATTACTGACTATTGTAAAAAGTAGAAAAAATTTACCATCAACCCTAGAAGGAATAACTGGGGTGACTGGACACCCCACGCAATATTCAAAATACGCCTCTAACTTAAGGTATAGTACGCTCGCGACAGTCACTCATCTCAAAAGTAAATTTTAATAAAATGCTATAGTATGGTGCAGTTACTGGAGACGCATGCATATCCCCTAATCGCCAAGTCGTCGAATGATCAAATAGTCGAATGCCAAGTAATCGAATGGACAAAACGTCGAATGCTAAAAACATCGAATCGGCATTTAGTCGAATGCTTAAAACATCGAATTGTCAATACGTCGAATTATCAATTTGTCGATTTATCAATTAGTCGAATGTTAAAAATATCGAATCGTCAATACGACGAATGTTCAAAAAGTCGAATTATCAATTCATCGAATGTTAAAAACATCCAATTGTCAATACGTCGATTGTTCAAAACGTCGAATGATAAAAACGTCGAATGCTAAAAACATCGAATCGTCATGTAGTCGAATGCTAAAAATATCGAATCTTCAGTTAATCGAATGCTAAAAACATCGAATTCTCAATTCGTCGAATGTTCAAAACGTCGAATGTTTAAAACGTCGAATGCTAAAAACGTCGAATCGTCATTTAGTCGAATGCTCAAAACGTCGAATCGGCATTTAGTCGAATGGTAAAACCATCGAATAGTCCATTCGTCGAATGCTTAAATAGTCGAAACGCCATTTGTTCGAATTATCAAGTAGTAGAATGGTAAAGTTGTCGAATGTTCAAAACGTCGAATCGTCATCTGTTCGAATTGCCAAGTAGTAGAATGGTAAAGTAGTCGAATAGACAAAAAGTCGAAACGCCATCTGTTCGAATTATCAAGTAGTAGAATGGTAAAGTTGTCGAATGTTCAAAACATCGAATCGTCATTTAGTCGAATGCTAAAAACATCGAATCTTCATTTAATCGAATGCTAAAAACATCGAATTCTCAATTCGTCGAATGTTCAAAACGTCGAATGATAAAAACGTCGAATGCTAAAAACATCGAATCGTCAACATGTCGAATGTTCAAAACGTCGAATTATCAATTTGTCGAATGCTCAAAACATCGAATTGTTAATTCATCGAATGCTTAAATCATCGAATTTTCCATTCGTCGAATGTTCAAAACGTCGAATGATCAAAACGTCGAATGCTAAAAACATCGAATTCTCAAATCGTCGAATGCTCAAATAGTCGAAACGCCATCTGTTCGAAATGTCAAGTAGTAGAATGGTAAAGTAGTCGAATGGTAAAGTAGTCGAAACGCCATCTGTTCGAATTGCCAAGTAGTAGAATGGTAAAGTAGTCGAATGTTCAAAACGTCGAATTCCCAATTCGTCGAATGCTAAAAACATCGAATCGTCAAAAGTTCGAAAAAGTTCTTTGTTTTAAGTTAATGTCTACTGAAGACAAAGAACTATTTCGAACTTTTGACGATTCGATGTTTTTAGCATTCGACGTTTTTATCGTTCGACGTTTTGAGCATTCGACGAATTAACAGTTCGATGTTCTGAGCATTCGACGTTTTTATCATTCGACGTTTTGAACATTCGACTACTTTACCATTCTACTACTTGGCAATTCGTACAGATGGCGTTTCGACTACTTTACCATTCGACTACTTTACCATTCTACTACTTGACATTTCGAACAGATGGCGTTTCGACTATTTGAGCATTCGACGATTTGAGAATTCGATGTTTTTAGCACTCGACGTTTTGATTATTCGACGTTTTGAACATTCGACGAATGGAAAATTCGATGATTTAAGCATTCGATGAATTAACAATTCGATGTTTTGAGCATTCGACAAATTGACGTGCGTGAAGTTGGCACAACAACCATATAATAATTAACTTTTCTGGTATGGAATCGTTTGGTCATCGTTTGGTCATGTTAGGAAACTAACTTTCTACGTTTGGATGCAATAAATAAAAAAGTTATTCAACTTTTAAATTTATAGTGCTAACTTCACATTTGCACAACAAAAGTTAATATATTTTTAAAATTTTAATGCCAATCGTTTGGTCATCGTTTGGATAAGATTGGAAACACCATTCAAGCGTTTGGACGATTCATAAAATAATTATAAAACATTTTAAAGATTTTTGTTCACAGCACACTGGAAATAAGGCTATTCAAGTTGGGTGGGGAAACATTTAAAGATGGATGCTTGCTGGTGCACAAACAATGAAAAAAATAAGTAAAAGGGACTGACAACTAAATATAGAATAATTTTTTATTACACTATGGTTAAAAAATGATTTTTAAAAAGTTATGGTTGAAAAACTTAAGTCCTATTGAGTTTAATTGAATTTAATGCACTGTTTGTGCACCAGTAAGCATCCATTTTTAAATGTCTCCCCACCCAACTTGAATAGCCTTATGTATAAAGTTGCGTAAAAGGATCTGCGCATGGGCATTCTTAGCGCGAAATTTTGAAATCTTCTTGCATTACTCATAAAGATTATTATTGTTAGTTTTTAAATAAATTTTAGGTTATTATTATTACTATTATTTTTTATTTTTCTAGTATGAAATCGTTATAGTAATAATAATAACCTACAATTTATTTAAAAACTAACAATAATAATCTTTATGAGTAATGCAAGAAGATTTCAAAATTTCGCGCTAAGAATGCCCATGCGCAGATCCTTTAAAGGTACTGCCACAGCTCTCTGCTGCCTGCGCAGGCAGCTGAGATACAATGAGAGTGAGGGAGAAAAAGCATGAATTTGAATTTTCTTTCTCCCTTACTCTCATTGTATCTCAGCTGCCTGCGCAGGCAGCAGAGAGCTGTGGCAGTACCTTTACGCAACTTTATACATTTCCAGTGTGCTGTGAACAAAAATCTTTAAAATGTTTTATAATTATTTTATGAATCGTCCAAACGCTTGAATGGTGTTTCCAATCTTATCCAAACGATGACCAAACGATTGGCATTAAAATTTTAAAAATATATTAACTTTTGTTGTGCAAATGTGAAGTTAGCACTATAAATTTAAAAGTTGAATAACTTTTTTATTTATTGCATCCAAACGTTGAAAGTTAGTTTCCTAACATGACCAAACGATGACCAAACGATTCCATACCAGAAAAGTTAATTATTATATGGTTGTTGTGCCAACTTCACGCACGTGACAAATTGATAATTCGACGTTTTGAACATTCGACATGTTGACGATTCGATGTTTTTAGCATTCGACGTTTTTATCATTCGACGTTTTGAACATTCGACGAATTGAGAATTCGATGTTTTTAGCATTCGATTAAATAAAGATTCGATGTTTTTAGCATTCGACTAAATGACGATTCGATGTTTTGAACATTCGACAACTTTACCATTCTACTACTTGATAATTCGAACAGATAGCGTTTCGACTTTTTGTCTATTCGACAACTTTACCATTCTACTACTTGATAATTCGAACAAATGGCGTTTCGACTATTTAAGCATTCGACGAATGGACTATTCGATGGTTTTACCATTCGACTAAATGCCGATTCGACTAAATGACGATTCGACGTTTTTAGTATTCGACGTTTTAAACATTCGACGTTTTGAACATTCGACGAATTGAGAATTCGATGTTTTTAGCATTCGATTAACTGAAGATTCGATATTTTTAGCATTCGACTACATGACGATTCGATGTTTTTAGCATTCGACGTTTTTATCATTCGACGTTTTGAACATTCGACGTATTGACAATTCGATGTTTTTAGCATTCGACTAAATGCCGATTCGATGTTTTTAGCATTCGACGATTTGTCCATTCGATTACTTGGCATTCGACTATTTGATCATTCGACGACTTGGCGATTAGGGGATATGCATGCGTCTCCAGTTACTGTAGCATTTTTTTGCTTGGACTGTACTGAATACATAGTCAGCCCTATGTACAGACACACTCACACACAAGTATACTAGTCAGGTTAGAATATTATATTATATCTTTTAATTGAAACGGTTAATATTGTTAAATCTTTTTGTTCTAAATTTAACCATGTTGAATAACAAACTTTTAAATTAAATATCTTGTTTTAGAAACGGTCAATTGTTTTAAAATTGTGCAAGTTTGTAGATCTTGTTATTAACTATTCATATTTTAAATTTCAGGGAATTCTGTAGAAAAGTGCGATCGCGAGCGTACTACTTTAAAAAATGATTTTTTCGCTTTCAAACCTTACCCTGTAAGAAGCGAGGAATAGAAAAAGATTAAATTTCCAGAAATATTCTGTTAAACGAGGATTTTTAATCTTTCTGAATAGGCGAATTTCCAAAAAAACCCAATTCCTCTGTGAACAGCAAAATATCAGAAAAATTTATTCTTCTCTATTGCTCGTGTCAATGAGATGATAAAAAAGAATTAAGAGTTTCTATTTTTTTGAATGCGCAAAATTTTTCTGCTTCTCAACGTTCCAAAAAAAATACAGAATCCTATCCTTTTGAATCGACAAAAAGTAAATCTTGTAAAAACGAATTAAAAAAAATAAGAAATAGCTATTCTTTTCAATCGACTTTAAGCAATTCTACGTAGTCAATTCAAACGAATAGAAATTGTTTATTCTTTTCAATTGACTGCTTCGAATTTTAGAAACGCATTAAAAGGAATAGAACTTTTGACAAACAATTTGAAAAAGCCTAATCTTTCCAATTATTTGTGGGAGCTCCTCTAGTTATTGTCTTAAAATAAAACGCAGTGACAGCTAGTTTTCGCGTCGTGTGAATTTCATTGTGATTTCAGTGCTAAATTATTAAAATGAAATATTAAAACTAGTGAAAATACGGTTAAAAACACACAGTGCTTACGATAAAATAAAAAATTCTCTTATTGAAATGAAAGAAATTTTCAAGTGTTCAATGTTTAACGTCAAGTGTTCAAAACTTAACCTTTTTTTCAAGTGAAATATTGAGTGATAGTAAAGCAATTCAGTGGAATAGAAATTTCTACTGATTTGTTGTACTCTCTCACTCTTTTGAATGCGCGTTTCATATTTTGGTGAAGTCAATTAAGAATAATAGATTTTGCTACTTTTCCTTGCTCCACCGAGGAATTGGATTATTTTGGAAATTCGCCCATTCAAAAGAAAAGAACTTCTGAATTCTTTTCAATTCCTCGCTTCTTACCGGGTAGCCATTATTCAAATTTTTTTTTAATTTATCAAAAAATGAATAAAACCATATTGTTTTCCTGACTGAAGGACCAATAAAATTGACTATCTTTAATTAACTTTACGTCAAATAGAAACCTTCTAAAAGCAGATTTAAGTTTGGGGTGTCTAGATACCCCAGTTACTCCTTAGAGGGTGAGTTAATTCACGTACTCCTTCTAGGGTTAAGTTCTAAAATACTTCTGGCGGGCAGAATTGGTCAAAATCAATAATTAAAATACTTGCGCCGGGCAGATTTGGTCAAAATCAATAAATAAAATAATAATGAATTTATCATTCGGTGATTAAATATTAAATTTGAAGAAGTTAACAATTTTCCCGAATCAATCTACACAAATAAATTAAATATCTTAAATAAATTTCGATAAGCTCATGGGCTTCATATGTATCGACAGCACAGCTGCCCTAATACAGAAACCTGCTTAATTTGAAAAATATTTTCGAAATTAATTAATAATTTCAAAATTATCAAAGGGATAGTATATTTCAAGGAACTCGTAGAGTCTCGGGGTGCATGTAGCTCAGTGGTCAGAGCAGTCTACCGGCAATAGAAAGGTCGTGGGCTCGTATCCCACCATGCTACCGTTTTTTCTGAGTTCTTTGATAATTTTGAAATTATTAATTAATTTCGAAAATATTTTTCAAATTAAGCAGGTTTCTGTATTAGGGCAGCTGTGCTGTCGATACATTGAAGCCCATGAGCTTATCGAGATTTATTTAAGATATTTAATTTATTTGTGTAGATTGTTTCGGGAAAATTGTTAACTTCTTCAAATTTAATAAATAAAATACTTTTGCAATTATCCGATTCCGTATTGGCAGGTTCACACTCACAATACAGAATATTTTTTACATGCTGGTGGACCTGCTACTTTTTAAAAGTTACAATAAACTTTTCTATCCTTCAGCATGTTGTTAAGCTTCAAACTGTGGACAGAGTAAATGAAAGAATACGAAGATTATTATATGTAAAATAATAATAATAGAGTAAAATTTTTTAAAATGAGACCAAGTGTTTGCAATAAAATTTTAATTCGAAGGAGAAGTAAATAAATTCCCTTCATTTTAACGTTCAGAACTTTAGGGACATTTAATACTATACTATGCAAAGCAAATACTATACAAAATACTTAAACATATTTTTCCTTAGATATTTCAGAAGACATATCAATAAGAATATTTTACATCTTTATTATCATTTTTTCATTTTACATTTGGGCCATCTATTCTGCTGCTTTTGTCAGCAAGTTATCGATAATTGATATCAATGTGCCATTCAAGTCATTAGAGGAATTTACTCGAGTAAAATCTCACAAAATGATCGTTTTTCAAGATACCTCAAACTACTATAAATTAAAAGTATTTTAAAATTGTATTTTAATTCGTATTTGTAGAGTAGAACGGGGTGAGAAAGCCAAGGTGCAAAAAAGCCATTTGACTTTTATTTGAAAACTATTAAACCGATTTATCAGCTATTTAGAATATAAATACTATCAGTTAATACGCAACTTTTCATACTAGTTTGGATGTTGTACCTATATTAATATAATTTTTATTGTAATTTTAATTTTTTATTTGTTCTGCGTATAATATTTTGATGAACTTTTCGAACATATTACAACCTGTTTAAGTGAACGGGTAATAAAAGTAAATGTTTATACATAAGGAGAAAACTATACTCAAAACGTATACAATGTTAATTTTTGGAAATTGAACTAAATTTAAAATTTATTATAGGTTTTAGAAAAACTGGTCTTGGGGGTGAAAAATCCATTGAATACTATGTGAAATTCATTTGTTTTTTTACTTAAACTAACCTTCTAATTTTGCAAAATTTTCGCGTGTTTATACTTAATAAAATTAATTAAACACGACGAAAAAATAGTTCAAAGTGCGCTAAAAAAATAAACAACGAATAAACGGTTGCAACAAAATATGGCATCTGTGGTGAAATTTGAGGAAGAAATTTAAGACTTTTAAAAATGGTACAAAAACTTGGTAGTGTAAAACGAAAACAGGTAAACTTAACATAATATTCAATTTTCCTTGCTAAAAGCTCTTTAAAATTTATTAAAATATTTTAAAAATTAGATTATTTGTCATAAATAAAGGAAAACTATAAAAATACCAAAATTAATAACATATTTTACTAAAATCGCGAGGTGGCTTTTCCCCCCCACCAGGTGGTACAAAAAAGCCACTTGCAGTGCTTTCGTAAAACTCTTATAATTTAGTCCTTTCATAGGATAAAAAATATTTCCTTCAAGAATATTCAAGCTTAATAACTAAACTTTCAATGCCAATTGTAAATATGAGAAAAACATTTTAAATTCAGATTTTATAGCGTGTCAAATGTAAAAATGTGGCTTTTTCATCCCGTTCTACTCTATGTAATTTTTTAAAATAAAGTATAGGTAGTTATTATTTTGAAAATTTCTCTCTTCTAGAATGCAAAACAACCACTTTTAAAAAAGGCAAACGAATTACTGGTGAGTGATGATCAATTACCAAAGACAAACGAAGCTGCTATAGAAATGGTGAATTTTACATTTTTTTTTCTCTTAATACACCGCAAATATCGTACTATATATCAAAAATTTAAAAACCTTATTTATTAGATATAAATTATTCACCCTTATATTGTTTAGATTTGCAACAGAGGAATGGCTCTTTTTACAGACGATATGTTTCTAGCAATCGCTTATAATAACAGCATTCCCAACATCTGTCGAATGGTGACAATCAGAACTAATGAATTCGATTCATTTGCATTAATATTGAAGAAAAATAGTCCGTATACTTTGAGCATAAATCATTAGTAAGTGATCTTCTTTTAACCCTACTGGAAGTAAAAATATAGAAAGAGATAGAATTTTGGGGATAGAAAGAGATAAAGCTTTTTCTATCCCTTTGAAATAGCCACTTTGCATACCCGAAATATTATACCTTTTTATCTCCGAATTTCTATCCCTTTTTATACCCTATTATCCCCTATCTATCTCTTTTTATACCTATGTACCTATGTATCTCTTTTTATTTGTCTTTGCTGCAAATTTTTATCCTTTTTAATAAATAAAGAATTAATTAACCAATATTAAAGACTTTATGAAGTATTACAATTTCAATTGAATTTATTATTAAAAAAAAATATTTTTAGAGTTTTCGTACTTCTATTTATTACCTATTTTTAACAAATCAAGTTATTTATTTATTTGTTATGAAATTATTATTTATTGTTTAAATCTATATTTCATTTCACATTATTAACCAACATTATACACATAACACTTAAAACCAAATTTGAAAAATCTCGCACGCAGGAGGTCTCGAACCCTGAACCTTAGGGACGCAAGTCGAATACACATGTCACTCAGCCATGCTAGCTTGGAAGATATTTTTCTTGAACTATACCTTTTAAATTTTGGGACTGTATTGATCTCTTTTTATCTCTTACTCTATCACTCTTTATCTCTCAGTTGATCTCCTTTTTAAAGTTTTAATTTCTCTTTATTTATCATGAAATCGTCACATTCAAAAGCGTAGAAAAAGTTATCTTTGGGGATTGAAAAAGGATTCAATGGGATATAATGAAGGTTATTGAAAATGATTAAGAAAAAAGAAAAAATCGAATTTTTTTTAATTTAATAGAAAAGAGATAGACTCTGATAGAACCGAAGGAATAAAAGGAGACAAGTATGGACTGAGATTTAAATACTAAATAGGGATAAAAGGGAAAGAAGTGAATAGTAAGAGGATAAAAGGCGATAAAGTAAGGGTTATTAAAAGAGATTGAATAAAAAGGGAAGATAGAAAGAAATTGAGGGGAATAAAAAAGGGATAGCCTGGTATAGAAACAAGATTATTAAAAGAGATAAGTATATTTTTAGATAAAATTAGAGATAGAAAGAGATAGGTGTGGATATTGAAAGTATTAAAAGAGATGAAATAAAGGTTATTAAAAAAGATTTATACAGAAGGAGAGATAAAAAGTGATTGAAGTGATAAAGTGGGGATAAACTAAGATAGAGAAACTTTATCTCTTTCTATCTCAGAGATAAAAAAATATTCAAAGAGATAGGATTTCTATCCCTTTACTTCCAGCAGGGAACTTTAAATATTAAATTTAAATTTGGATTTCAACGAAATTTATTCTTTCGCAGTTTACGGAGATTTTTAAATAATGGCATAATGTCACGCTTGAAGTGTATACTTGCCGAAAGTACACCAATTGATTTGAAGAGTAAACCAGAGAATACCTACCAACCTGTTAATTTTATGGATATAGTAATGCCTCTAACAATTTTGTTTGGAAGCGCTCTCACGGCAATTTTAATTTTTCTTCTTGAAAATTTCTACTTGTTGTTCCGAAGAAAACAAGAAATAAAAAATGCAGCTATTTTTCAATTAAGGTTTAATCTTAATAAAAATGTTAAACGCCCTTCGAAAAAGTAAACAATTGTCCGTAAAAGTTCAAGTCATGTCTGTTGTTTTATAGGAACCAATGACACTAGGCTCCACTCAATCATTTTCTATTGCGACATAACTTGAATAAAATATGTAATAAGAATAAACAGTAGAACTAATTTTCCTAATTTTTATAAAAAGAATTCATTTCTATTTTATTTTATTCAGTCGAATTTTTTATACATTCTCATTACACAAGAGGGTATTTTTTTAAATCTTTTTAAACAAAATCTCAAAATGAATCGAATTTTATCGATAGCTTTTTATATATTGGTAAGAATTGCATCAATAAAATCTAATTCGTTGATTCACGACGAATATGTGAATTTAATTTCTGAAATTTACGACTGGAGTAAATCAACAACGGTGACACTGTTACACTTTAACAGCAATGACGGTAAGTGTTAATGCTTCAAAAATTTTTTAAATTTTTATATGGATAATAAAAAATCTTCTCCTATACAGAACTGTTTAAGAAAAATTCAATTTTTCAAATGCAATTTCTTCTAATTAAGAAGAACATTAGGGCTTCGGATATTAATTTAGAGAAGGTGGCTTCTCTGGAAGATGAAAGAATCTATAACTTCAAGGGTTTGAGAAAAGATGACAAGGCAATGAGTATTTTTTTGTTAACATCCATGCACGAATTGAATGTGATGAAAAATTTTACTTGTTTATTAACTAGAACAAAAATAATTTATTTCGCTTTATTCATGGAGAGTGGAGATTCTGTTTTAAGGGAAATTTGTTTAAAACCAATTGGCAATCCTTTCGGCTTGAATAAAGGAGTTTCTTTTCTCGTTAAATGCCATGACGATAATATGATTCGCGAATGGCATTCAATTAATGGCAACGAGACTGAAATACACGAAAGGGGCATTTGGAGTAAAGAAAGCGGATTTAATGAGACATCGAATGAAACAATTGTCAATGATTACGATATTTTGAGTGGGAAAACTTTGTATTCAATTATGTCTGTGGTGAGAAATTATTATAAATTTTTATTTATAACAAGTAATTGTTTGTTTAAATTTTAATAACTTTAAAAGAAGTTACCCAAGTGCGAAATGCCAAGACTGCAAAAACGGCCCATCATTGGTGCAGTAATGTCTGCCGAGAATTGGCAGTAGTTACTGGGCCATTATTGGTGTCCAAAACGTCCCATTACTGGGCCAATGATGGCGCCGATGGTCACAATTTCAAATTTTTTAAGACTGGGCCAGCTCTCGGCCCAATAATGGCACATTCATGGCAAAGTTTATCAATGTTTAATGGCAAAAGACAATTGCCAGTGATGTGCCGATCATCGGCCCAGTAATGGCTCATTATTGGCACTTTAATGGCAAAAAATTTGTATCGTTCATGGCAAATTATAATTACCAGTATTGGGGAGTAGCTTTGCTCAATAACGGCACAATATTGGCAAAGTTGATCAATCTTTAATGGCAAATTCAATTGCCAGTGATGTGACGAAGATCGGCCCATTAATGGCACTTTAATGGCAAACATTTTGTATCTTTGATGGCAAATTATAATTGCCAGTATTGGGGCGTAGCTTGGCCCAATAACGGCACATTCACGGCAAAGTTGATCAATCTTTAATGGCAAAAGACTATTGACAGTAATGTGACGAAGATCGGCCCATTAAAGGTACATTAATGTCATTTTAATTTGGTAAAATTTTTTATAAGAATTTAATTTTAAGAAACATTCAGTTATTCAATAAATTATTTATTTTGTATTTAAATAATTGAATAAGCTTGAAAAGGATTCAAATTTAAATATTTGAAACTTTGAATTTTCTATATTTTTAACTGTCAATTTTAAAGAATTAATTTTTTTAAAAAAGTTTAATTAAGTATTAATTTAAAAAAGAAGTTATTAATGTTTTCAAATAATTTTACAATTAAAGAAATTCGTGAATAAATGTAACAGAAACCTTTTTTTGAGTAAAATTTTTCCTTTATTATCTAAAAATTAAGAAATTTTCAATTTCACTTTCAATTAATATTTGCAATTGACAAATAGAATTTATAAACATTTTTTTCCTTTATTTTTTTAAAATCTTTGAATTTTTCTTAAAGCAATTGTAATTAAGAAATAGAAATGATGCAAATTATTTCCTTAAGAAAATTTATTGAATAAATGAATGTTTTTTTAAATTTAATTCTCATAATTCAATTTTAAGAAACATTTAGTTATTCAATAAATTATTTATTTTTGCATTTAAATAATTAAATTCTCGTAGAATTTTCTAGTAAAAATTTATTTCAAAATGGATTCTAGTCAAATTTTTAGATAATAATTAAATATTAAAAATATACCATGAATTTTGATATTAAAATTTTTTTAAATTCAATTGCCAATGATGTGAAGAAGATTGGCCCATTAAAGGCACATTAATGGCACTTTAATGGCAAAAATTTTGTATCTTTGATGGCAAAATATAATTGCCAGAATTGGGGCGTTGCTTGGCCCAATAATGGCACATTCACGGCAAAGTTGATCAATCTTTAATGGTAAAAGACAATTGTCAGTGATGTGACGAAGATCGGCTCATTAATGGCTCATTATTGGCACTTTAATGGCAAAAAATTTGTATCTTTCATGGCAAATTATAATTGTCAGTATTGGGGCGTAGCTTGGCCCAATAACGGCACATTCATGGCAAAGTTGATCAATCTTTAATGGCAAAATTCAATTGCCAGTGATGTGACGAAGATCTGCTCATTAATGGCTCATTATTGGCACTTGAATGGCAAACATTTTGTATCTTTGATGGCAAATTATAATTGCCAGAATTGGGACGTAGCTTGGCCCAGGAATGGCACATTAATGTCTATCATTTTGTATCTATGATGGCAAATTATAATTGCCAATATTGGGACGTAGCTCGGCCCAAGAATGGCACAGTATCGGCCAGTGTAGTGTAGCTTATAAGAACCCTTTTGCTTCCTCGACTTCAAGTCAGAGTAGCAGAGTGGTCAGAGTGTTAGGCTGTGGTGCGTCAGGTTCAGGTATCGATCCCCGCGAGAGGTAAGAATTTTTCAAATATTTGTAAGTTTGCGTTTAATTTAGGGAAATAAGCCGTATAAATGTTATAAATTAATTAGTTAATTAAATAAAAAAAAATTTATTTTTATTTTTTTCTAATTTTGTCAACACTGGGGGAGTAATGGCAGCCAATATTGGGTCATTAATGTCTGCTGAGATCTGGCTGCCAATAATGGGCCACTAATGTCTGCCGAGATCTGGCGGCCAATATTGGGCCATTAATGTCTGCCGAGATCTGGCTGCCGACGTCCAACCGCTGTTAACACCACAAGAGTCGGCGCAAAGTCGGGCCAATATTGTCTGCCAAGTCTCGATGCCAGCTTTGCCAAAACTGGGCCAGTGTTGGGCCAGTGTTGGTTTTCGCACTTGGGTAAATTTAAATAAAATTTTTTTACAACAATTATAATAGAATTCTTCGTAGAATTAAATTACTTTCAATGTTTTTCATTTTAAAATGAAAGTTCTGGAAATAATTCAATTATTTTAAAATTTTCTAACTGAATTCGCAGGAAATACCTCGAAACATTCAATTATTTTCATAATAATAGTTTTAATAAAATTTTTCAAAAAAATTCAATTACTTCCATATATAGGGGAGACTGGGGCGAAAAGTTAAATTTTGCATAAATGATTTTTTTAGACAATATAATCCGCTTAGATGCAAATATTTATATATCAATACTGTAGGGCAACTTGTCCTCTACAACTTTCAATAAAAAAGTTTCTGATATTTCCGCATAAAATACATGTTTTGTTCTTTTTTGAAAATTTTGTTTTTTTTAACTTTTCGCCCCATGCTGGGGCGAAAAGTTAAATGGCTGGGGCTAAATGTTAAATTATATTTTTAGCCTACTAAAACTATTTTCTGATAGGTGTTAAGTAGTAGATAAGTTAAAGTTTACGTAAACAAGTAATTTAGTTAATAAAAGATCTGTGTTTATTTAACAAAAGCTTAAGAACAGTTATAAAAAAATAAATTGAAATTAAAAAAAAAATTTTTTTTTGTTTATTTCACGTAAACGGTCTTGTTTTTTGACAGATTACTTGCCTAATGTCAAATAAATCATTTTTAAACAAATAAACCCATAAAAACGAAAAATGTAAAAAAAGAATTTTAACAACATGTAAAAATACATTTAACTTTTCGCCCCAGGGTGCATTTTTGGCTTTAATAACAAATATAAAAAATCTGACTACAGATATTTAGCAAATACCTTCAGGTATCTCTTCAGGGGACCCAAATAAGGACCTGAAAAAATCGCGATGAGAATAAATTCAAAAAATATACTTAAAAGTTGATATTTTCTTTTACAAAAAAATTTTGAAAAGTAGGGTGAAAAAAAAATTTAAATATGGACACCAAAAAAATGAACAGAATGTCACATAACTCCACACATTTATTTAGGGTGATAACACCCTTGTATAATTAAAATTGCAATGCTCTAACTATTTCCGTTCGAAAAATAATGAATTTTTACTGTTTTCACGCAGTTTAACCTTTCGCCCCAGTCTCCCCTAAATAAAAATTAAAATGATTTGAAAGAATCAATTATTTTTTATAAAATTTGAATTCAATTTGCAGAAGAAATCCAATTATTTTTCAATATTTTGATAAAACTCTTTGAAAGAATTGAATTATTTTCTAAAATTTAAATTAAATTATCTAAATCTGCATTGATAAAAATCTGAACTAATTGAGTCAAAAGAAATATAAAATTTCTAAAAATTAATATTCTTATTTTATCATTCAACAATTAACAGAATTTGCCAGGAATAAAAATTAGTTTTTATGCATAATTATTTATAAGTATAACTATTTTCATGTTTTAGAATGGAAAATTAAATTATAATTTGCAATTAAAAACCAATAATATATTTATATTGTATTTATATGTAGGAAGACAATGTTCAAGAAAAATACTTTAACAAACTAATTAGATATTTGGAAAATGGTGGTAATTGTACAATTAAAAAATTCGAGTCGATGACTTATTATAAAATTTACAATCAAAGTTCAACTACTTGGAATAATATGAAACAATTGTTTTTTAATGGAAGTCTCGATCTCGGAATGGGATTTTTTTCCTATGTGCCGACAAATTTAAAAGATTTCGATTTTTCCGAACCACTCGCAAAAATTCAATTTGTCTTGATAATAAAAGCACCAACAATTAAAGTAAATATCTCATTTAACGCATATATCAAGGTAAATAATATAATTTTATTATTATTTATATTAAAATTTTAATAAAATTTGACATAACTTCTAATCGCTTCAATTTTTTTAATTATTTTTGGAAATTCAATTATCTTCAAAAAATTTTAATTACATTTTTTCAAAAAACAAATTAATTTCAGACATTTTAAATTAAATTATTTAAAATATAAATAATTCTTGACAAACAAATACATATTTAAAAAATTATTGTTATTTACTTTTATAATCCAAAGGAATTAAAATTTCAATGAATTATTCAAAAATTTAATAATTTTTATATAGAAAAATAATATATATATTAATAGTTTTTTAAATCAACTTCTATTAAAAGTCAACCACGAGAATTGAATTGTTTAAATAAAATAGATAATTTTTTGTAAAATTAATTTATTATTTTTTTTATTCATTTACTTATAAATTCCTTAAAATATAAGTTATTTCAATGCAATTTGACAATTAATTTTTAAAATTATTTTTGAGATTTCAATTATCTTCAAAAAAATGTAATTACATATTTTCAAAAAATAATGCTTTTCATAATTTCTAAATAAAATTATTAAATTATAAAATTAAACTAATTAATTAATTAAAATTTATATTATTTCTAATTGAATAGCCATTCACACTTCGGTCATGGATAGCATTTACATTTATCGTCATAATCAGTCTAACTATTCAAGTTCTCATATTTTTCAAATTAAAAACAAGTTTTTGTCGAAAAATCAGTATTAGAGACGAAATTTTACATATTTTGGGAATTTTCTTACATCAAAGTATACCAGGTATGAGAATAATAGAGCACCTGGATCGTAGAAGGGCACGTAAATTTTTCTCGGCCGAAATCGAAGTCCCCTAGACACTTAAAATTCAATTTCTGAATTTTAATATTTTAAATACACATCTTTATAGAAAATTTCATTGCGCATCTTTTTTTCTTATGAAATTTTTTTGTATCTATTACCGTTTTTGAAATATTTGAGAAAAATTGATTTTTTGAAAACTGCAAATTTAATGACATTTTTCACTTCAACTCGCGATAATTCAGATGATTTAAAATATTTTTCAATGTACCAAAAAAGAAAATACGTCTAAAGATATTTTACGAATGATAAAAAAGGAAAAAAGTTATTTTCTTTATAAACAAAATTGTTGTAAATTTTTTTCTTTATTAATGTAAAAAACATAAAATACAATCTTCACGGCTCTCGTTTAACGGGCGAATTTTAAGTAACAGAGAACTTTCAGTGAGAAAGTTGTTCATTATGGACCAAAGAAGTTTTCTGGAAAATCACAGGGTTAATAATTTATTAGTGTTGAAATGGTGAATGTTTAAAGTTGATACCGTCCGAATGTGTAGCACGCGTCACTCGTAACAGGTGCTTGGGAGGCTTGGGAGTGTCGTTTCATAGGTTATGGCCATCGCGCGTGCCACACGTTCGGACGGTATCAGCTTTAAACATTCACCATTTCAACACTAATTAATTATTAACCCTGTGATTTTCCAGAAAACTTCTTTGGTCCATAATGAACAACTTTCTCACTGAAAGTTCTTTGTTACTTAAAATTCGCCCGTTAAACGAGAGCCGAGAAGATTGTATTTTATGTTTTTTACATTAATAAAGAAAAAAATGAATAACAATTTTGTTTATAAAGAAAATAATTTTTTTCCTTTTTTATCATTCGTAGAATATCTTTAGACGTATTTTCTTTTTTGGTACATTGAAATATATTTAAAATCATCTGAATTATCGCGAGTTGAAGTGAAAAATGTCATTAAATTTGCAGTTTTCAAAAAATCAATTTTTCTCAAATATTTCGAAAACGGTAATAGATACAAAAAAATCTCATAAGAAAAAAATATGCGCAATGAAATTTTCTATAAAGATGTATATTTAAAATGTCTAAATTCAGAAGTTGAATTTTGAGTGTCCAGGGGATTTCGATTTCGGCCGAGAAAAATTTACGTGCCCTTCTACGATCCAGGTGCTCTATTAGTACATTGTGCACCGAGGACGCAAAGCGCAAGTTTCTCGTCCGAGCTTGATTTTGCAGTACGAGGCGAAGCCGAGTACTGTAAACAAGCGAGGACGAGAAATGCGTGCGTCCGAGGTACACACGACATTTTATACAAAACGAGAATGTAATCCGCGGTTACTCGGTGCGTTTTTGAGAGGTAAATACTTAGCGTCTCAAAAACGCGCCAAGAAAGCGGGGATTACATTCTCGTTTTGTATAAATATTTTTTAAAAAAATAATAAATAAAATTAATTATTTGTAATTAATTTTCTTTGCTATTATTTTACAGAATTTAAAAAACCCACAGCCTCAAAAGTACTACAAACTTCAATTTCAATGTTCATTTTAATCATTATATCACTTTACACTGGAAGTTTCGTCAGTAAACTGACTTATTCTGGTGTACAACTTCCATTTAATTCTGTAGAAGAATATGCGAAAGCCAAATCACACAAGTTAATTGTTTTTAAACACACTGCCAATTATTATAAGTTAAAAGTAAGTATATTTTAAAAAATCTTGAAAAATGTAATTTATTAATTTATACTTTTTCTCACGCATGCTTCGAACTCGATAATTAATTTTAGAAAAGTAGTAAAAAAGTATTAAAAATAATTGAAATCCTACGAAGAAGTTTATTATTTCTAAAAATAATTAAATTATTGCAAAATTTTTGAAAAAATTGAATTTATTTTGAAGAATTTTTCATAAAATTTTATGAAAATAATAGAATTTTTTCGAGGAATTTTATTAACCCGTTGACTGTCGCTGACGCATATATGCGCAAAACTAAACTGGCCAAAAGTGGTTCATGACGCATATATATATATATATATATATATATATATATATATATATGTGTGTGTGTGTGTATGCGCAACTTAAAAAAGGTGATTAAAAACTTCTTAAATGTTCCTGAAACCGGTTACTCGGAGGTTTTCGAGGTCGCTGATTACGAATATGATATTCGTTTTCTAAAATTCAAAATGTCGGATCCAGTATGGCGGACAACAAAATAAAACATTGATCAGATTGACTTGAAACGTAGTACTCGGGGGTTTTTGGGGTCGCTGATTACGAATCTGACATCAGTTTTTCGAAATTCAAAATGGCGGATCCAAGATGGCGGAAATTTTTTCAAAATTCATCGAATTTGCTTGAAACTTGTTACTCGGGGGTTTTAAGGGTCGCTGATTACGAATCTAACATTAGTTTTCCAAATTCAAAATGGCGGATCCAATATGGTGGACGACAAAATAAAAAATTAATTATAATGGCTTGAAACTAAATACTCGGGGGTTTTTTGGGTCGCTGATTACGAACCTGTCATTATTTTTTTAGGGTATTTATCGAAATTTGATTACACCAAAAATTATCATACTGATGTTAGATTAACCAGTTTCAAACAAATTCAATAAAGTTTAAATAAATTTTCGCTATATTGAACCAGATATTTTGAGTTTTAAAAAACTGATTTCAGATTCGTAATCAGCGACCCTGAAAATCCCCAAGTATTCAGTTTCAAACCAATCTGATCAATTTTTTATTTCGTTGTCCGCCATATTGGATCCGCCATTTTTAATTTTGGAAAACTAATGTTAGATTCGTAATCAGCGACCCTTAAAACCCCCGAGTAACAAGTTTCAAGCAAATTCGACGAATTTTGAAAAAATGTCCGCCATCTTGGATCCGCCATTTTGAATTTCGAAAAACTGATGTCAGATTCGTAATCAGCGACCCCAGAAACCTTAAGGTACCAAGTTTCATAAAAATCTGATCAATTTTTTATTTCGTTGTCCGCCATATTGGATCCGCCACTTTTAATTTTGGAAAACTAATGTTAGATTCGTAATCAGCGACCCTGAAAATCCCCAAGTATTCAGTTTCAAGCCAATCTGATCAATTTTTTATTTCGTTGTCCGCCATCTTGGATCCGCCATTTTGAATTTCGAAAAACTGATGTCAGATTCGTAATCAGCGACCCCAGAAACCTTAAAGTACCAAGTTTCATAAAAATCCATTAAAAATTTTTTCAACACACTTTTGTCCCAAACAGTGGAAATCTTGTTCACAGCCAACACGGAAAAACCTTTGAGAAGTCTGCCTTCCCACTGTCACAAAATTTCGCTTCTCACTGCATGGAAAGTCTGATCGCCCGCCACTGGGTGCGTAGCATTACCGTTTTCGATAGACAAACTTCCCAAAAAGTTTAGAAAATTACAACTGGGTACGTTGGTCACCCAGTTTGGGAGTGCAGATGAACAAGTTTAGTGGTGGCGCTGACGCATAAGTTTCGGGTGAGCAGACTGCTTAAAGGTTTTTCCGTGAAGGGGATAATATTTTAAAAAATAATTGAATTGTTTTCAGCAATTTCAATAAAATTGAATTAAAAATAATTGAATTGGTGCGATCAATTATTTTATTATTTATGAAAATAATTGAATTCTTTCGGGGAATTTAAATAAAAAACCGCTGCCAAGTTGTATGTTTTTTTTATAATTTTGGTGCTCATTCCATGAACACTTTACTTCCTCATATAAAGATAAAAATAATAGAAATATACATATATGAATAACTTTTTATAAATATGGTAAAAGTGATTGAATTTCGGGCCAATCAATGTATTTTTAAATACCCTACAAGATAGTTACAATAATTTAATCGAAGCGTTTTTTAATGCTCCACAAGTTGATAACGATAATTTTAAATTCAAATTTTCCCAAAATTTTTCACGAAACATTGTCAACTCATTAGTAAGTACTCATTTTTTTCTGGGAAAATTTGAAAATAATTTGTAGCGAAGAATGCATGTCATCTGGACTATTGAGTCGATAAGGCTATGAAAATTTGAAGGATGTGGACCTTTGTAGCTCATTGTCAGTGGAAGAGCAATCAACCGGCAATTGATAGGTCCTGGGTTTCGAGCCCCAGCAGAGTTAGTCCCTCATTTTTTCATGGCTTTAAATTTGTTTTTCGATAATTTTAAACTTTTTTAAACTTTTTTTTTTTAAACTTCTACGTTTTTCAACAAAATTTTCAAAAAAGTCATATTTTCCAAAATTTTTGATTTTTAAAAGTTTAATAACTCCGGTTAATATGGACGAAAAATGTTTAATTAGGGCTCAAAAGATGCGTCTAAAAAAACTCTACAAAATTATGGAAAAACGGAATGACATTTTTTAAAAATGTCATTTTTGAACTCCTGAGGTCAAATAACATAAAGATATGTCAAAAAATCGAACTCGAAAAATTTTGTTATTACAATACTTTCTCTATGAGGAAGTAATGTATTGAAAATAATTGAATTCTTTCGAGGACTTTAATTAAAATTATATTAAAAATAATTAAATTCTTATAAATTATTTTTTCCAAATTTTCGAAATTAATTCAATTCCTTCGAAAAATTTTATGAAAATAATTACATTCCTTTGAGGAAATGATTAAAAATTATATTGAATTATAATTAAATTTTTCTAATTAAATGATATCAAAATTTTTGGAACTAATTGTCATGTTTCAAAGAATTTTATTAGAGTTTTTAAGAATAATTTCCTTATTTAAATTATTAGCGAATTTAAAGTATAGTACAAATTCTCAAAAAGAAAGAAAAGAAAAAAGTAGCTTTTATCAAAAAAAAATTTAAAAAGTATCCAACTAGTAGTAAATAGTAGGTTATTAGTAGATGATTGCGAATTCTGTTATTATTATTTTATTATCTATCTTATTATCTCCTTTCATTTTCCACCAGAATGCAACAACCTATCCTTGGAATGAATTAAATAAATTACTAGTAAAAAATGTCAGCCAACCGCATTATGCAGACGATGCTATAGATATGGTAAAAACTATGGTTTCCTTTAAAAAAAAACATCTCAATTTATTATTATTTTTTTAAATTTTAATGCTCATCTCGAAAGCTACACTGAAAAAAATGATTTGATTCAAATAACCGATTACTTGACTATTATCAATTAAATATTTATTTGAATTAAATAATTTTTATTTGAGTCAATTAAATGGTTCAATTCATATTTGCTTCAAATACTGAAATTATTGGTTCAAATATCTACCGTTTAATTAACTGAAAATAAAAATGATTTGACTCAAGTATTTAATTGATGATAGTCGGTTATTTAAATCAAATAAATTTTTTTTCAGCGTATAATAAAGAACTAGTGAAATAAAATAATTTATGTTTTAGATTTGCAATGATAATGTGGCATTATTCACAGACGAACTATTTTTCCAAATGATTCGAGATGATTCAATAAAATTTAAATGCCGTTGTATTGCAATTGCAACTGGAGAATATCATCCTGTTACTTTTATTTTAAAAAAAAGTAGTCCTTACACTGAGACGATGCGTAAAATGTAAGATAGAAAGCCTTTTCCTTATTTTTATTCTCTATAATTAAAATATAAATTATTCTAAAATTGACAAAAAATGAAAATTTCCTAATAAATTCTAATATAATTTTATTTCAGCATACAGAAATTGGAAAATTTTGGAATTCTCACGCGCCTGAAAAATAAAGTGATAAGAAATAAAAATTACAATAATTTTACATCAATTCCATTTTATGAAAGTATAACTTTTATTGAAACAATAACACTTCTAGTTATTGTGATCGGAGGAGTTGCTATTTCTGCTTTAATATTATTTATTGAAAATATTTACTCTTACTGTCGAAAGAAACTGCTGAACATGAAGCAGATTCAAGCGACATTTCTTTTTAAACAAACTACTCGATTAATTCGACATAAAAAGCCTTAGTACCTATATATATATTATATTCGATATTAACAGTCGTAAAATTTATTAGTTTTAAATCTTTTGAACATTAAAATACATAAAATTATAATTTCACGTTTTCAAGAAAATAATAAAAATAACACTATTATTAGCCAGACAAACTTAGAAAATTATTTCATTTTCCATAATTCTAAGTTAAAAAAATATTATAATTTTTGTAACTTTTATCATTTTTAATTTCAAATGATTTAATGTTTTCATATAATTTTAATAAATTGTTTGAAATTAATGATATTGGAATTTAATTAAAAGAAGGAAGCAGTTTGGAATAAGTACGGCCCTGCCAACTATACATATACACGTGCTTTGCTTAGTCGCTCTGTACTTTTTCTGTTTTTACATTGATTTATTGAAATGTTTTTTACTAGAGTGATATTGTTAGTTGCAAAGAAGTTTACTTCTTAAATTTTAAAATAAATCCAGTGATCATTTGTCGATTTAACACTCAGAAAAAAATTTGTTCGAAACAACCAAATTTTGGTTGAATCAACCAAATAAATGCATTGCTATACAGTCAACCAAACGTTTGTTTGATTCAACCAAATAATTTCTTCCAATACGTTTATTTGTATTAACCAAATGGTTATTACACTTAACCAAAAATTTTTATTTAATATAACTAAAAAATTTGTTTATTTTAAGAGAAAAGATTTGTTTGATTCAAATAAATAGTTTTAGTAAACGTATTTGGTTCATTTAAATAAATATTTTTGTTTACTTAATTTTGTTATTTATTTTCCTCTAATAATATTTGAATTTCCTAATTTAATATTTTCTAGTACATATTATTGGTTAATTTACAATTTATTATATAATTATTGATATTTTAAAATTATACATACAATAAATCATAAATTAACCAATAGTATGTATACTTGAAAATATTAAATTAGGAAATTCAAACATTATTAGAGGAAAATAAATAACAATGAAGTAAAATATTATACTAGTTTTAAGTAAATCCGATGAATTTTAGAAAATGTCCGCCATATCGGATCCGCCATTTTGAATTTTCAAAATCTGATATCGTATTCGTAATCAGCGACTCCGAAAACCCCCGAGTAAAAAGTTTCAAGTGAATCCAATGAATTTTTAAAAATGTCGTCCGCCATATTGGATCCGCCATTTTAGTATGCTCGTTTGCGCAAATTTTAGTTTTCTAAAAAGTTGTCGACATTTTGAGCTGACTTATGAGATTTCGGTCTTGACTGCGAAGGGGTTAACACATCAGGCCCATTTCAGGACTATTTGGAAAATCTTTTCCATACTATAAGGTATAAATAAATTTAAAAAAATTTTTAAAAAATCCGGCCCGCAAAGTTAAAAAAAATTAATTTGTTTATAAAAGAAAAAATTTTTTTTTTAAATTTTTGTTTACATTTCGCAAAAGTCGAAAGAAAACTAAAACTTTCATTCCTTGACAACTTTTTCCTAAACTCAATATTTTCGGACTTATAAGCTATTGAATATAGGTCTACAATTAAAAGTCAAAAATTTCGAAAATTCATAACTCAAAAATTTGGAGAATTAAACAAAAATAAAAAAATACGTATCTGTTTTTTTCTATACAGAATAGGAAAAAAATATTTTTGGCCGATTTTAAGAGGACGACTTAAATTTTACGTGGAATTGCCCATATATATATATATATATATATATATATATATATATATCTCCCCATTATATGAAAATATTTCGCGGCCGTTGCAGTGTCAGGATTTTTTAAGGGCCCCCTAATGAGAGCCGTTATGTTACGTCAAAATATAGGTCAGTTTTAACATATTTTTTTACCTATATAGGTGGGTAAGAATTCCTGAAGTGGGCAACGGATTTTCCAAGGTTTGCAATTTCTATAATAAACTTTATAAAAATAAAGTACTAATAGAGGGACAAACAGTCTTCAAGTTTTATTTGAAAATATTCATTCGTTTATTTTTTATAAACAATTTAATTTTAATGTAACATTTTTTTAAAACATTTATATCTCAGAACTGGATTATCGGATTTTGATGAAAATTTTTGGACACAATTAATGAAGATTTGAGCTTTTTAAGAAAAATTATTTCAATGTCGAAAAAAATTATTTATTGTAAAAAATAATTGTTAATAATAAACAAATGAATAATTAATTGTGTTCTGGACCTTTTTCGTGAAAATATTTTTCAGAACCTTAAACAATATAAATCAAGGATTAAATAACTGAAAGAAAAAGTTGGTAGATCGAAATAGTTTATTATTTATTTTATTTATTTAAGATTACACTTGTTCTATGACAATACAGTACCAACAAGCGGGGAAAAGCCATGAGCTCCAAACATAAACAAAATAAAATAGCGGCTAAGTAACATAAATAATACAAAAATAACTTAAACCGTACGACGAGCGGACAGTATGCTAGACACTAGTTTAACAAAACTTTTTATAAATTGGACATTATTTGATGATAACATATTTGGTAAGTTTAAAGAACCATGCATATTTTGACTAGATAAAAATTCAACACACAAATGAGCACACCCTGGACAATTCATTAAAATATGATAAAGACTCTCCTCTTCCCAACCACAAGATGGACAAATTCTTTCGCTTCTAAATGAATAAGAAAATTTACCCAGATGAATTCGGCAACAATACTTGTTTAATAATCTAATTTGTGCATAAATTCTCTTATAGAAAAGTGGTAGATTAGAAAGAAGATAGCTCTGCGTATGAGGTTGGATAGAAATTTGCGGGTAAATCAGTAGACTCTTTGAAACAGAAAAGTGTTCTCTGTCACGAGCCCTGAGGTACCGTTCATAACTCTCCAACATTCTGTCGCTCATCCTACCCACAGAGTCCAGCGAAAGGTCCCACCATAAATTCTCCATATCATTCTCTAAAAAAAAAACTCTCAAATTCGAAAACCAATTAAAACCTCCCCCAGGATTCTCCAATGCGAGCACCCTGAGTCTGTCAAAACACAACCTGGGATACCTTGAATTATTCATTTGTGAAATTTTAAAAATCCAGTTTAGTGTAAGTGACAAGACCCGATGTGCCACACTAAGTGATCCTGTCTCCAACCTAACAGCGTAGTTTGGAGTATTTATAGGTAACAACAAAAGTTTCTTTATAAAGGAGAGTTGTACCCCCTCAAGGCCATCTAAGTGGTTTAAGCCCTATATCTGGACCCCGTAGAATAAGACGCTTAGAGCCTGGTTATCAAAGAGTTTCTGATAAGTATTCCAAGTAGCCGAACTTATTGCCCCATCCGCAGCCGGGGAGAAGGAGCCAGAATTAGCAAATACAATACCCAGATAGCTGTACTGTTTAACCACTTCAATACGTTCATTACTACCGTAATTAAAAGAGTTGAATCTGTTCGCTGAAGCGTTGCCCGATTTTGTAAAAACAACTATCTTAGTTTTAGTAGTATTCACAGTCAAATTATTTTCCTCACAGTAAGAATAAAGGGCCTCTAGCTTCCTAACCAATTCCACAGGGGAGTCCGACAAAAAGACATAACCGTCAGCATATCCCAACATTAATATTTCCTCAGTACTGTTTATTGAAAGACCCCTGCAACCCTTGTCAACAAGATATTTTTCGAAGTCACTGTTAAACAAAAGAAAAAGATAGGGGCTGAGAACTTCGCTCTGCAGAACTCCCAGTGTAATTCGAACGAAATCAGTACATCCCTTGTCGTTTTTAATAAAAGTAGTGGCGATTGAGTAAAAATGTTTTAAAATGTTAATAACTTTTGTACTAACTCCTAATTTATGTAATTTCATCCACAGAAGATGATGTGATATGGATGGAAAGGCCCCCTTAAAATCAATAAATAGAGCGTACACTACTATCCTCGGTCTACTTAGGTGAATTTGAATTATTGACAAAAGTGAAAAGAGATTATCAATGCAACCTCGACCCCTTCTAAAACCAGACTGCGATTCCGGAATCAAATTCAGTTCATTAGCCCAAACCACAAGCCGGTCACAAATCAGCTGTGTGAAAATTTTTGCCAGACAACTAACCAAAGTGATCGGCCTGTAGTTATCGGTATCATCAATATTTCCCATCTTAAAAAGCATAAAGCAAGCTAGCTTACCCCAGTCTTTCAGGATCACTTCCGTTGTTAAGATTTTATTAAAGAAAACCTCCATGAAAAGAATCCAATTCTGCGGTAAATCTTTATAATAATCATACGCAATACCATCGATACCAGGGGCCTTACCATTCTTACAACGAAGTAAGCCTTTCGTAATTTCTTCCGTGGAAATGTAACCGTCCAAAAGCGGATGAGAAATGTTAAGAAACTTAGATTCTATTTGTGGATTACATAAAGTTGTAGGATAGGAAGCCAAAAGAAACTCATACCACTGTGGTAAGTCAATAGCAGAACAACGAGGAGTTCTCGATTTGATTGAATTAACAATTCTCCAAAATTGAGATGCATTATTACAACTGGCTAAATTATTAACAATATTTTCACGATAATTTTTCTTTTTATTTTTTATAATCAATTGCAGTATATTTTTCTCATTTCGGTATTCGTTTCTAGTCTCCTCAGAAAATTCTCTTTCTCTCGCATGCTTTAACGCAACAGCTACACGATATCTTGCCTCTTTACACTCCCGGTCAAACCAAGGTTTATTATTAACATTAGAATCACAATTAGATGCCCTAATCATACGCAGATTCTCCGCTACCGATGAAATTACAGAGGTTAAGGTAGCATTCAAACCATCCACATTTTGCTCCAAATCCGCCACCTCCCTTCTCATCGACATAGATTGAAAAAATTCATCTGCTTTGTTCACATTAAACCGTAGCCTGCGCGTATACTGCGACTCACCACTTTCAGTAGATTGCTGTGGAGTCGCACCACACAAGACCACCGGCAAATGATCAGAAAGAGAGACTATGGGAAGCACCTGAAAATCACTAAAGAGATGCAAGGCATCAAAAGAACACCAAACATGAACCACAACGCTGAACCCTTGCACCCCCGTAAAAGTAAATTCAGCAGGTGAGTCAGTCAGA